AAGGAAAGGCGTGCTCGCCTTGCCATGCAACGGGGCGAAGACCATGAACAAGATTTCATCTCTCTAGATGATGCGGCTGACGATGACTGGTCGTTCTCGCGAAAGAAGGAGAAAGTAGAAACAAGGCTTGTTCGGGACGACGAAGATTTCGCGGAAGGGTTCGATGAATATGTAGAAGATGGCAAAATAGCTATAGGCAGGAAAGCAGAACGCGAAAAGCAACGGCGAGAGCGAGCGGAGATGAAAGAACTGATTGACGAGGCGCAAGAGTCTTCCGAGGCGGATGACTCTGAAGCCGAGCGCAGAGCAGCCTATGAAGCGGCTCAAACTCGCGCAGGAATGGAAGGTCTGCGTCGCACTCACGAGAGCCTTCCTTTACGACCGAAAACGCCACCTAAAATCACTCCGCTGCCACGCCTCGCAGACAGTTTGGCCCGGCTCAGGAATTCCCTCAGCACGATGGAAAACTCAAAGGTCCAGCTCGTTCTGAGGATGGAGGAGCTTCGAAAGGAGAAGGTTGAGATATCGACCAGAGAGGTAGAGATCCAAACGTTGCTGAAGGAGGCCGGGGAAAACTACGAGAGGCTCAGAGCTGAGGCAGGTCTCAATCCGGGCGATAAAAGTCTCATTCCGGGGACTGATGTCCAGGGTGATAGAGGGCTGGAAAACCTAGGAGGACGCTCTGAACTACCGTCTGAAGATGAAGCTTCTGACTGAGTGTGAAATATCAATTGCCTAGGATGACTTTTCCTTGGCGTCGCCCATTGCTCTTGCTACAGCCTGATACAAGGATGACATGGCGGCTCGGTACAACATACGTGCCTTCCACCAACTGGGTGGGCCGCTTCTCCTGTCGAGGTAAAAGAACAAACCTCACAGGGAATGCAATCTTGCATTGTCCTATATATTATTCAACCTTGAGGGATTAATTCGACTTTTATTGTTATTTTGGGCGTATCATCATGGGTCGCCCTTTATTTCTAACATTTAGTCGCGACTCTCTACCAATCCACCTGACTACAAGAAAGGGGTAGGCTCCGTGCTTTGATGTATGCTGAGTTGTTAAGTCTTGTTAACCAGTCTGTCAGAAAACCACGTCGTTGCGTTCCATGGATCGCATCACCCCTGGACCAGACCGATGAAGAGCATCCACGTCTTAACCATCATACCGATTCTACCCCTATTGAATTATTCTTTGACCTTTTTTTCGTTGCAAACCTGTCTACATTCACCGCCACTCATGAAATAAATAATCTGGAAGGTTAGGATTTTCGTGTGTCAATACAAAACCAGGAGAATCGTGCTGATACTGATTTTGTTATTTCAGCGTTGTGGTCTTACGTTGGCTTCCTCAGTATCATCTGGTTTACCTGGCTTCAGGTAGCTCTGTTCGACATTCGTTTTGCACAGGATTCTATATTTGAGAGGATTTGCAAAGCACTCCAGCTTGCGACTATGGTTGGGTTTGCTTCAACTGGCGCCGGCTTCGCTACGCAAGTCCGTGATGAGAACGTCTGGGCATTTCGTTCGCTGAGCATCCTTTTAGCCTCCAGTCGCCTGTTATTAAGTGTCGAATATTCAATAGCTGCAATATTTTTATATCGTACAATGCAACTGGCTTCCAAGAGGTTACTGTGGATAGTTGTGGTTTTCATCGGAACTGGGGCTACATACACCGGGGTGAGTTTCTCACGGTACAACTATTCCGGAGGAGAACAACACGTTAACTCATTGCTCAGCTTTACTTCGTTTTTAACAACAACACGGACACCAGAGGAGAATATGTGTGGACTTCTTGGTTCTTGATATTCGCAATCGAAACCCTTGTTGTGATGTCAGTATCCAGTCGCACGCCCGGAATTGGATTTGAAAATACCCATCTCAACGTTCGGATGGGCCTTCTGACGCTTATCATTATTGGGGAAGGCGTTATCTCCGTAACCAGACTCGTCAATCAGACAGTTGGTTCTTCTGGCTGGTCGAAATGGTCCTTTGTTCATATACTTGGCGTGACTACTGGAGTAGTAAGACTCCTTCCCAGGATAGGCAGACTTAACAGAGTGATTAATATGCCTATTTAGTACCTTTTATGGCAATCATACTTCGATATTTCGCCTCGTGTGAAATACGGAATAACCAACCAACAGATCTGGACACAGCTACATTTTCCATTTCACGTTATGCTTGTCCTTCTCTCAGAGGGGTCCCAAATTCTGGCCCTGACTCTAGACATTTCCCTGAAACTCAGACATTTGAGCGATAGCATTCTCTTTGCATGCGAGCCGCCAAGACCAGACCCTCATTTTGCTATCGACCTACTCAACAGCACAATTTTGGACATGGACATTGACTATACCAGGGGTGGTCTTGAAGAGCGGCGCTGTATACAATCTGTCTTGCAGGATCTCCGAAATAGCCCCCAATTGTGTCCATCGTTTAATGGCCCAGGGTCGCTCACACATCAACGCTCGCACGACCTGATAGGAAACGTGACAACGAGCCTCTTCTCAAGCATGGGAATAACGCTACCAGTTGACGTGGTGGAGAGCGAGAAGCTGTTGATGTTGTACTTACGGCTGCTTGGGTTTGTGTATATATACTATTTTGTCGTCGCGTCGTTTGCTATGTTCATACTCGCCGCTTTTGTCTTTCTTACACAGCGCCATGCTGGGAAAATATACGCATGGGTGGCTATTACAACTCGTGTTCTGCTGGGAATTATACTGCTAGGCATGGTCGCAATGGTGGCGAATTTCCGTCTAATCTACAGTTATATGACAAGCCCACTGATTATTTTTACGTTCACGTTGGCGCTACTCATAGGTGAGTTGCTCGCCCATTTCATCTTGCATGAATACCCGTGCTCCTCGCCTCCTATAATAACCGGACCACTGCAACGGGGCTAATATTCTCTGATGTGATTTGCAGCGTTATTGGTTGACAGAGTGTTGGATTCCGTTGCACTGAAAGTGGGAAAACCAAATAGTGATAGGGAGGATAGAGAGGTAACTGGGACGGATACATACGCCATGTTCCAGCTCAGTCCTATGACAACTTCTGTTTCTGATGACAATACGTTGGATCATTAATTAGCATCTGCGCGCAGGGGCTGCATGATTGCCATAAGAAATTAATGAAATCATATTCCTTTGAGCAAAATTTGTATTCCATGGGTTCTATCGATTTCCCCCCCAACCGGAGAACAGCTGCAAAACGCCAGGGAGGTACACGTACGTCCGTGGCAATGACGAGCGCCACAAACTCGACTGATTTATCTTCTTACCCACCAGTTGCACATATTAGGTCTCCATGCTGATAACCATAGTCCAACTAATCACCACCCAACTACCACCTCCTCCGGAGGGAAAATTGGCTGGTTAAAGGGGCAAGAATTATTATACAGATAGATAGCTCTGTCATAAGCCACAAATTCAAACAAATCAAATCACAGCCTCGACTTCCCTTCCGCAATTCTCAGAGCCGTACTATCAACTCTCCGGCCCTCATCGTCCTGCTCCGCAACTTCCAGAACAGGTAATTTTGCGGGCATGATTCGCCTTGGATTCGAACCTGGCACGACGTCATATTCAGAGAAATCCGATACGTTGCAGTATTCCCGAAGGAAGTCTTCGTCTAGAGTTAGGAGGCCGTTTACCGCGGATGTAGGGGCATGGAGTATGCCGAGGATAGCGGCCGAGAATATTGACTTTTTTTGGATAGAGAGGTTTTGGAGTTAGTTTTCTGCTCGCTTTTTCATTTTGGGGTATTAGTAGTGAAGGGAGGATATTATCATACGGGTTTTCGCAAATCTTTTGCGAGTGAGGGCTCCTTGTCTGTCGATCTTTTGGTTGCAGCGGATTCGATGGACTAAAGTTTCTGGTTATAAAAAGGATGTATAGCGGTGGATTGGGCCTGAAGCATACTACAGCAGGCCATATACTGGTAATGGCCATATCCTTCCGCCCCTGGCGAACGAAATCCATCGCCAGCCCCTTGGTTAGGACGCTCATTCCGACCTTGCCTAAAAGAATATGTTAAACTCCATCTGCAAATACCAAAAGATTCAATCTTCATCAGAACCACGCCGCTCCCGAGGGCCCACCCAACAACTCAAAGCTCGCAAAGCAAGCAATAAGTATAACTTACCCATGGCATACGCCGTCTTCCCTCTGAAAAACCTCGAATAAATCGGAGGCGACACAACAACAATCCTACCCTTCCACCCATTCTTCCCAAAATAAGGTAATGCCGCCTGCACACTAGCGTACAGTCCTTCAGGGTTAACTTGTTGCATCAGCTGGAACCGTTTGACAGGCGTATTCTCAACAGATGACCACCAGATGGCCCCGGAGTTGTAAACCAGGACATCCAGTTTACCGTAGGTATCAACAGTCTGTTTGACGAGACGTTTGATGGCGTCGACGTCTCTGGTGTCCACTGCCAGTGCGATGGCTTCACCGCCCGCTTCCCGGATCTCCCGCTCTACGGTGTTGATGGTCGATTGTGGGGAGTTGGGATCGGGCGGGAAAGGGGTGGTTTTGCTGGCGTCCGAAGTTGTTTTTGCGGATACAACCACTGTGTATTGTCTGTCTAATTAGCCAATGCTGTCCATGATACATGTGCATGATATGTTTGTAGATATATAGACTTGGGAGCTAGAGCTGTACGAACCAGCATAACCGTCCTTTGCCAGGTCTATAGCAATTTGACGTCCAATCCCGCGAGACGCTCCAATCACCAATGCCACTGGTTTGATAGTTGCCATGGTTATTTGATGAATTACAGAAAACGCCCGAGGAAGGATGGACGAGAAAGATATGGAGAGCTAACGGCCCGTTGTATTTTGTCTTAGTCCATCAATTAAGCTAGCTCAAAGTGAAAACAAGTTGATATTATTAATTCATGATACGGGCCATACCTTGCCTCAATACTAATGCCCCGAAAGCTATCATCTGCTGCTGGACAGAAAAAGCTCGGCTCTGTCTCCGGCAAATTGTCATTAGTAATCCAAAAGATGCCGAAAGCTGCCGCACCTCGGCATCTTTTTTGCGACGAATAACTAAACCTTCTCCATTGTTGAATAGATAATTTAGATAAGCTGTTTCTATCGTCCCTTGCGCTCAGCTGTATGTATTCATACAGTTATTTTTAGCTCTCGTTGTTGTAATCCATCTCGAAGGGACAAACACCTGAGTTCAATTCTAACAGCTGCAAGCTTAATCTAACACCATGGGCGGAAAGATAGAAGCATATTTCGACTGCTGTGAGTCCTCCGCTTCCTCCTCAATACCAGGTACACTCGTGCTGACAGCATTATCACGACCATAGCCTCTCTGTATTCTTACTTCGCTTTCCTGCACCTGCTCAGGAACCGCGAGGTGCTAGAATCCTATGGCATAGAGATCGAGTATGTATTGACACGTTTGAGCAATGATATATATGCATCAAGACCAGTTCGCGATGCATTTTGGATCAATTGTTAATTTAATTTCATCCGCATCTTAGCATATTTCCAGTTTTCTTGGGTGGAATCAATGCTGGCTCAGGTATGGACAAATCCCCAAGTCGTACGTACATACATGAAACCACAAGCAGCGAGCTAACAATCTAATTAATTCCTCATCTCAGGCAATACACCCCCCTGGACAAACCCCGTCAAGGCAAAATACAGCAAATATGACGGTAAACGGGCCGCCAATTATTTCAAAGTCAAACCCATAGTTCCTCCACCATTCTTCCCGCCTCTTACAATTCTAGTAAATTCAACACCCCCTCCCACCTCCCCAAAAGAAAGACATCCCCTGAACCATTCACTAAATCACCCACCCACCACCAGCCCCAACGCGTCGCTACCTATATCAAAGCCAACTACCCGCGCGACCGCTTCGAGAAAACCTTCCTCCTCTACTGGACCTACATGTTCTACCGGCAAATCGATCTCAGCAAGCCTGAGAACGTGATCGCCCTGCTCCACGAGGAGAAGTACAGCGACGCGCAAATCGAGGCCATCATGAAAGCTGCGCAGAGCCCTGAGGGGAAGCAGGCGCTGACGGACCGGACGAAGGAGGCGCTGGACCGGGGCGCGTTTGGCGCGCCGTGGTATTGGGTGACGAATGCGGAGGGGAAGGCTGAGCCGTTCTTTGGCAGTGATCGGTTTCATTTTATGTGGCAGTTTCTAGGGGTGCCGTTTCGGGATGTGGAGATTGTAGGGAAGGGGGCGAAGTTGTGAGAGGGTGAGGGGGTGAGGGGGTGCGGGTAGAGTGCATGGGGGATATGTTATGGGTGTGATATACAATGATTAGATTTGACTGGCAACATATAATGTCGTGTGGATATATTATTAAACTAGGTCGATTTGTGGACATATCATGGTTGATACAAGAGTTCAAATAAACATTAAACATGTATGTTTCTTCATTTCTTCGCTGAGCGCTCTATCATCCGAAGAAAACAAAGTCAGACTCGTAATACATCAGGCATACCCATCATATCAACAACGCCTCTGATACCCATAGAGGCTTTCAAAGTATAGACATTCATAACTTGACAAATCCAGTATCGTTCCGCACCGCAAAAAAATCAACCTTTGCCTTTACGTCCCTTCGACGCTTTCCCCAGCGACAAACCCTTTCTCATCGCCGCCTCCGCCACAGCAGCCCTGGTACGCATACCGCCACCCCCACGCCCACCATCCCCTTCAATGCCAACCGCGGGAACTTCCAAGCCTGCATGCAAAATATTCATCCGCAGCAGCTGAATGTGCGCCGTATTGACATACTCCTTGACATTCTGGATCACAGCTGCTTGCACATTTTCTCTTGTATTCGTCTGCGTCGTGACAAGCACGCCCTTCTCGACGTCAACACGTGCATCGAGCGTTCCCTTCTGGATCATATCGATCAATTCAACGATAAACGGCGACTTTAGATCGATGGTGCCGCCATTGGGTTTGATTGACGCAGCCTGGCCTGGCGAGAACACTGTAACCATCGCATCGAGCGTCACCCGGCTGTAGGGGATGATGTACTGCTGCATAGCCTTGGTGCGGATGCAGGAGTAAAGCACTGGCACGTGCTTCTGGAGATGGATGTCTAGGAGGTAGTCGGCACGGTAGGCTTCGAGGATGTCCAGGCAGAGCCGGAACTTTGAGGCGCAGAAGAAGGAGATGGCGCGGCGGATGTGGGGTTCCAGTTCGAGGAAGTTGCGGAAGGATTTGTTCTCCAAGACGTGGGTCTGCAGGTCCGCACGATCCATGGACGCGAGTGCGCAGAGGCCGCCATATACGGCGATGTCGTTGGCTGAGATTACCTCCTTGTAGTTGTCCGCTATGACTGGATCTGTGGAGAGGAAGTTTATTGCTGCTGAGTGGTAGGCAGATGAGGCGAGCTGGGATAGGCCCAGTGCAGCGAACATTTTGGCTTTGCTTTTTGCTTCGTCTTCTGGCTTGAATTGTAGATTGCGTAGACGCTGCACGCTAGATTGGACACCTAGCCAGTCGCCGCGGTCAATAGCGACGTTGATGTTTTTGAAAAGCATAGACGCGATGTGAGACGTCGTTGTGCAGTATTCTCTCATCCGAGAGTAGGCTTTGGAAGCGTTTGGGAGGTCCCCAATGCGATGATAATGGTGGCCAAGATCCTCATTGCCCATCTGTTATCAACAATGAATAAGCGAATGTCCTAGAATGGCGGCTATATTTGACCGTGAAAGATGACAAGATTCACTCACCCGAATGCTCTCCTTAATCAAGTTATTCTTATATCCCTTGAGCTCATGTTCCAACCGATCTGTCTCAGCCTTCACTACTTTAGATGTATGATCAACCCATGCAGCATCAAGTTTAGCTTCCGGGTCTTGCGGAGCTACGCGAGCCAACGCTTCAACAGCATCGGTATAAGAATTCACATCCTTCCCGCCTTTCGCGTCTGCAACTGCCATCTTCAAAGCCTCAACAGAGAGAAACGTTGAGCAGGCTCCGATCAGGTAGAGTCTGGCAAATTTCGTTCTCCCTGTACGTACAATACGGTTAGAAAAAAAAAACAAAAACAATAAAAACGAGCCCAATACCCCAGAATGCAGAGTAAAAAACATACCACTGTAGTTACTAATATATGACTCCAGATCGAATTTCGGCGGCTCTGCGCAAGAAAAATAATCAATACTCCTTTCCTTTAGCCATCAATTCATCAATTCATTTCCACCCATCATCCCCCCACCTCACCCACCACACTCCCACACAGCGCCTTCAAAAGAAACTAGGAAAAAGAAAATAACATACCGTCAACCCTCACACCCTTCGCCTTACCGCCCGTCTCACCAGGAATACCCTTCCGATTACCACTACCATTACCCTCCCCAAGACCCATGTTCATCTCAACATCTGCGCCCGCCGCAAACGGTGCCGGACTAGCGAGCGAGTCCATTCTAGTCGCGAACCGGGGCGCGGCAAAGGGGAATAAAGAAGGAAAAGGAAAGGAGGTTGGAATATATGCCGACTTTGTGTGTTCGCCCAGCGAGGAATGTGCCCAACGTATGGTATATGGTATATGGTATATGGTATATGGTATATGGTATATTTGGATTTATTGCATCCCCCCACACCTCCTCGTTCGCAAGTGTTCCCCGGCGAATATCTCCCTCCAGATAAATCCCCGCGCTTCTAGTGTATGATAGGACCCCGCTCACTCACTTCTCTCTCTCTCTCTCTCTCTCAATCCGGGCCCCCTGTTTCTTATTTATTTCGATTCGATTCGATTCGTTCCCTTCCGTTTCTCTCTGGTGGCAGGATCTTGACAAACAGAGGGATCAGGTAGTCGACTTTTTTTTTTTTTCTATTTCCTTATTCGTAGTTCGTTAGGTTTTGTAATGGAAAACGCAAGCGAAAACCGTAAGAAGGCGTTGTGTAGAAGCTCTACAGAAACTTGAACTGGGCAGGCAACAACCCCCCGCTGCGGTCAGTTTTATAGTTCCGAAAAGTTTTCCAAGATGTCTGGAAAATTATGAAGGATACGGGCAAAATGTGTTACTCACCAAGCTCGTGGGGAAATGACGAAAACAAGGCGGGTGCAGTCAATTGCACATGAGCCGTTTTAAAACCGTCTGTAGTTGGATTTATATCTTGTTTAGCTTGTCCTTGTGTCGGGCTGCGGAGTGCGGAGGTTTATCGCAGCTATCATTTAATCACGTGATTATACGGTTTGGCTTATATAATACGGGGCTGGTGATTCCATGACTCTTAACTTTCATTTCGTATTCTCTCTCGGAGAAATAAAGAGATTTTATTAGAAGTGTATCAGTGAATTCTATTATCTCAGACAGAGAAATTGAGTCAAAAGTCTCAAAGCTTCTGAAGAAATTTAACTGCTCTGCGGCGGAGCCTTGTCACCCCCGCCTAGGGGCATTACACAAAAAGCAAAAACCAATGAAGCCAGAAAAATAATAATAATAATAATAATAGATCGGAGACGAAGAAGGGGAATAAAATAAAATATATATCAAGCGGAAAAAAAAAGCCCAATATCACAAAGGACATTTTACATCCCTCTCACCCCAGGTGCACAGGGAAAGTATAAAATGAAAAACATATTTAAAATCACAGTCCCCCCCTTCCCAGCTCACGCCATCAGCTCATCAATGTTAACCTCATCAACCATCCCACCCTCGGGCATGTGTCTCATCAACGGCACGGCAGCAGGGCCCATGAGCCCCACGAGACCCGCGCTGCCACCCATATCTCCATCCCAGGGGCCTCTCTCCTCCTCCGTAGCTCCATGCACTGCGTCGGCGCGCTTCAGTGTCTCCACGTCCAAATCCGTGACATATGCGTCACGGCCTGTGCCGTTGTCGTCATTGGCGCCACCGAGTAACTTCAACCGGACCTCGAATTCGTTATCGAGCATCATCTCATCTTTCCAGAGGCGGCGCTGGCCGTCGTAGAGGCACAGGACACGCTTTTTCATTTTCATTTTGTTGGTCGCGCAGCCCCAGGATGGGGGGTAGTTGTTGCGGTTGTTGCGGCGGCGGGAGGAGGTGGGGCGGGGTTTTGTTATGCCGGCGGTTGTGTGGGTGGTGGAGGGGGGTTTGGAGAGGGTGTTTGAGGAGGAGGAAGGGGTGGTGTTTGTGTTTGTGCTGGAGGTGGAGGTGGATGAGGCGGATGATTTTAGAGAGCCTTTGCCGGCCGCGGGGTTTCTGGTGTTTGAGTTATTATTATCGTTAGAGTCGTTCGTATCATCATCATGGTCGTCTGTTTGGTTATGGTTCGTTATCACGTCATTGGTCGTGTCGACAAGCATGTGTTTCTCCATGGTTTGCCGCACAGCATCGTCGGAAGCCACTTCTGTCAATCGCTTGAGATTAATGGCTTCGCTGGGCTCTTCCTGTTGGACTACGCGCAGAACACAGTCATCCAAATGTTCATAGAACTCCTGTGCGTTGCTGAACGTCGACGAGCACGTCGAGCATTTGCCTGTGGCATCGTGACAGTAAGTGGCAGCCTTTCGATTTGACGTGGGAGGGGTTTTCTTGCGGCTATTGGGCGCGGTCTGCTCCACGCCATGCACAGAAGTCAGATGTCGCTTGAACACATCCGCCCGGTTAAAGCTTTTCTCAGCAGCAGACCCGGAACCGGGGCAAAAGCCGCACACCATCGTCCCTTTGTAATGTGTCAATGTGTGCCTATTCTTATCGTATTTCCTACTGAATCCCTTCAGGTGATATTCGCAGGTTACTATCGGACACTTTTCTGGTCGCTCTGATTGATGGGTAAGCATATGCGCCTTTAGGTCTTTGAACACCCGCCCACAATCCGGGTGGGGGCAGCGACCCTTCTCCTTCCCTTTCTCTTCGTAGTCAACACTACCCGCCAGGGGACTGCGTTGCGACCGTCGCGAGTTTTCGGAGGATATGGACGACCTTCTTCCAGCAAATGAAAGCGGCCGAGGAGTGAATGATTGCGTTAGGTACGGGGAGGGGAGAGCGGATCGAGGGTGTTGTTGGGGGTGTAATGTTTGGGATTGTGGTAAAGGTGATGCGGCGGGAGATGTCGAATGAAAAAGGGGTGATCGTGTAAAAGCATATTGGATTTCCTCTGCGTATGATGCAGTCGGAGGCGGGTAACTGCTTTGTTGTTGCATTGGCTGGATCAATGACGGGTCTATGCAAGCCAAATGGTAAATTAGTAACTGTAGAGAGCGCATTGTGACGAGAAGATGGTATCTCAAATATGTAGAGTTAAGGAAACCGGAACAAAAAAGACAGCAAAACACGCAATGTATCACGATCACAGTGTTGGGTATCATAAGGAAATAAAAGAAAAGGCAAAGCGGCAATAAATGAAACATTCAAAAAGCAGACACTGCACGGGATATCAAGTAGGAAAGTCAAAACACCAACAAGATGACTCGAGCGGCGGCACAAAATTTCCGCTACTCTGTTTAAAGAAAGAGTTTTCAAATGGCTCCCTATTCCTAGACCCTGGAGGCTTAGAGCTCCTCTTTGGAGAATGTAGGCTATCTCGATGTTTCATCCTAGCCTCTGCAGTGGACATCTTCCTCGCTTCAAGGGTTGTTACGCCTGAGTCTTGGGTCAACGACCGCTTTCTGCTGGGCATCTCTGGCGAATACATAGCTGGAGAATTGCCACTCAGAGATCGGGCCACCGGGGAGGCCAGTGCACTCCTGCGTGTGCTAGTTCCGCTGGTTGAACCTTTGCGCTGTGATCTCCCGCCTGCCAGAGGAGCAGTGCTCGTAGGAGGAGACATGGATTGAATTGGTTGATTTTTGCTAGCCATAGATGCAACATCTGAGTGTTGCCATGTGAAACCAGAGAAAGAGAGTGCACCAAAATGGCCATCTACTACTGGAGAAGATGCGGATGCAGATACAGAAGAGATGTTTACATGCTGAGCAATTTGTCTAGGCAGTTTGGGCGCCTGCGAAGGTTGGACAGAAGAAAAAGCATTGTGACACTCACCCACGAAGCTATCTGGGAGCTTTTCATGCGCAAACATCATATCAGCTTCCATGCCAGCACTCACGTATTCCTGCGGGTAGCCATCGCTACCCACTGTGGCGGGTCCAAGCCCCGAAGCGCTGTTCATGTCGATCCAGCTGTCCTGGTACGGAGAGCCGATAGTGGACGATGAGGTGCTTGGTAACGAAGGACCAGATACGGATGAGCTTGTAGATGCGCTGAGGTCGGAGGAGAGGGTAGTAGCTATGGAGGGAGAAGCAGAAGGGTGATGTGCATAGGAGTCGTATTTTTGGTTGTCGTGCTGTTCGCTACTGATGTTGTTGCCGTACAAGTGTTGGGGGGCCTCTACCAAAAACGAAGGAGTTTCTATGAAAGAGGCCGTGCCTAAGGGAAACGGGTTGAAACCAAGATGATTGTAACCGTCGATATTTAGCGAACCAAAAGGATCATGCATAGAAGGATCCATCGAGAGTTGCTGAAGATAGGATTGCTCGTGATGAGAACGCTCCAGCGCTAGCATTGTCGGGCCGTTGGAAGGGGAGAGGGCGGAACCACACTTTTTGCTCAACCACAGAGCCAGATAGAATGGAAAAAGAAGGGGGGGAAAGCACAGCCTCTAGGAACAAAGTTTTTCTGGCGTCGTTTCTGCGGTAGATCAAATTGTTCATCCAAAAAAAGTATGGAACGGGAGCCAATGTCAGCAGAGCATCAGGCGAATAGTATTTGGGCTATTTTATATAGAGCGAAGTCAGCTGACTGGATTGGTTCATATCCAAATTCGATCAGCGGCAGAAAAAGCAACCAAAATATTGGACGAGGAAAAAGAAAAGAAAGGGTTATGAGCCGCGAATCATCGTACCAGTCAGAACGGGAAGCAAGACTATTTTTTATTTTTATTTTTTTTCCCAGCGTGAAATTTTTGTTTCAGCGGTTTCTTCGCGGTTGGAATGGTGGTTGGGTTGTATGTCTGTCTGCAGCTGGCGCCAAGCACAAAAAACCACGGAAAGGGGAGGGGGGATTTGGTCCACGGGTCGGTCCGATGTAGTTAAAATAGGGCTGCGGAAGGAGAACCAGTCCTCTTTGTGCACACAAAAAAGGGAGTTCGTGAGGAGGATTTTGCCCCTGGGGAACTGGCGGAAACGAGGGCACAAAAGCCGAGTAAACAACACGAGCACTGGCAAAGGAGTGGACGAGGGTGCTGGAAAGCAGCCAGGGCTAGAGATTTGGCGGGCGTGCTAGGACCGGGAGGGCGCAGCCAATGAGAACGCAGGATCGCGGTATGAACAGGACAGGACAGGACAGGACGGGCAAAGGATATCGGGGCGGGTAAAGAGGAAGATTGGGGGAGAAAGAGAGGGAGAGGGAGTGGTGGTTATCGATCGATTTTCTCTCCCTATGCACGAATGCCTTCTTGTTGGTCTGTCCTAGACCGACTCGATCGAACTCGAGGAGATCTCGCGGTGGCAAATGGCGGGGAAGGCGAGCTCTATTTATTTTTGGGTCTGGGGGGTTTTCCGTTCGATTTATTTTCTTTTCTTTTCTTTTCTTTCTCTTTTCCTTTTCCTTTCCTGTTTTTCTATTTGTTTTTCTTGTATGTTTCCCTGTGACTTTTTCTTTGCTTCTAGTAGTCGGCCGAAGGCAGAGGAAGGGGAAGATCCATCCGCACAAACAACACAATGGAGAACAGAAGTGTGGTCAGGAGGAGAAAGATGAATAAATAAAAGGAGGCAAGGAGAGGAAAGTAAAACAATAATACCAGTAAATGAAACAAAAGGGAGGGGGGAGGGGGATATATAAAAAAAAAATCAAACAAGCCAGGAAGAGAGGGTGGACGACGAGTAGTTTTTATAAAAGCCAGCAGCGGCGTGCAGAGCCGAGAGCGAGCGGCAGCGAAGGGGTCATATCGGGGCTCTGATTTGTTTGCCCTACAGGGACAGCGAGGAACATGAGCCAGCACCACGCAACCCAGCACCGACTCGACTCCAGACTCCAGACTCCAAGAACCCAGAACCCAAGAACCCAGAACCCAGAACCCACCCCCCGAGCGAGGCGCAACAGCAAAACCCTCCGCTACCCACGCTATGTCGCAGCAGTCATAATAATAGGCCCAGTAAGGAGCCCAATAGCCCAAGCAGCACGACCACGCTCCACCCTTCTGCACCAGATATGTAATGTACAGTACGTTAGTGATCTTTTTGCTGGCTTTGATCTACCAGACTGCCACTACTGCTGCTGCTAACTGCTCCTCCCCCCCCTCCTCTCTGCATCATCATATCATCGGCAGTGAGTGCGCAGCCACGCTAAGTCCCAGGGCTGGGATGTGCTCACTGGGCCCCGGCAGTGGAGATGTGATGGCCTAGCGTGGTATGGTACGGTGTCTGCCACTGTCTGCCACTGTCTGCCACTGTCTGCTTGTGTCTGCTTGTGTGCGTGTGCGTGTGCGTGTGTGTGTGTGTCTGTGTCTGTGTTCTGATCTGGGTTCTGCGAGTGTGGATGCTGCTACTCTGCTAGCGCAGGTCGCAGACTCCGCCGAAGTTACATGTGCGGTACAAACATGCGTATTTTCAACAGGACCCGAGAACTGCAAAAATAAAAAATACGCTCTCTCGCATTACGCCGTTGGAACCCGCTAAAATTAAAAATACGGCGTGGTTGGTCCCCCGGCTGTTGAAACACGCCTCAATTGGCTACGTCGGGTTGAATTCAGCCTACTAAAAGGGATCGGGGGCCGTACTCCGTACACATTCATAATAATTACAAGAGGGCCAGAAGGGGAAGGAGAAATGCTGACATGGAATCCCTTTTGGGTTATTCAGGTGGAGGCATCATGATCCTGCTGAGACCCGAGTCTTATTGTCTGTCCATTTTTCCCTGCGGAGAGGAGAGACCAAGCCAGGCAGAACCCCCCCCCTACGATTACTTGACAAGACGTAGTTACGCAGCGTAACTTACTGCACGTCGTTTCTTCTCGTCCCACGTAAGGGGGTTGAATGTTTGCGAAGGTTGTAAAGGAAGAAGAAGCATCGGCAGCAGCAAAAACAACAAAGGCATGGTATGGTATTCAGGTATTTCCCGTCAACAATATCCCTTGTTAGAATTGAAACTCGAAAATCGTTCAGTTATATGCAACAGTCCTATAATGTGCATACATGCGCAATGCATGTAATAATAAATCCAGTTTATGCATATATGCACCCACCCTCCCGTGTGAATCATCGGGGTGTGAACTTCGATCCCATTTCTCACCGTTCTCGTCATAGGGCAGACCCCAGCTTCAACCACCCGCAGCCCTCATTGTTGCGGTATGCAAAACTCGATGCGACGCCCATGCAAGATTGGACAATGCTCAACATGTGCTCTCTATCCTATCTCTGTGCGATCGTCTATCCGCGTAAGGCTGAACTGCAACCCGCAAATTGGCGGGATTGATTTGTGTTCCCTTCCCGATGAACCCTATTATTATTAACTACTATTGATATGATGTGGCAGGTTCATGGACTATGATTCGCAGCTTGCCCGCAAGGCCCCAATATCCATCCTACTTCCCTATTTTGGACTGCCCGCTTCAGGACTCAGTTCACAGCTCGATGACACTGTTGCTCTGTTTCGAACCAACCTGCGCCTGATCGATGTTGCGTTTTGTTATACTGCAGAATTGAATCGCTGGTGGGAGTACATACAAAGCATCCCTCCGAACTCCGGGTTTTCAAAACAGCGACTCTTGGCTTCCTGCTCTCTCACCTTGGGAAGACGGGTTCAAACCCCCTTTTCTCTGTAGAAGCCCTGGATGATCATTTATATTTAAACATTTATTAGAGGAATCCATAGGCTAAGCAAGGGATTTCCTGCCCCCAAAATGAAGCGGCAGTGGATATTTTACAAAATATGTGTTCTCCGCTTTCCATATTTTTTACCTGTTATGCTTCAGTGGACTTACCAAGCAAGCAAACAGCAAACTGCTTTCTCTCCATTATTATTAATAATTGATGTAACTATGTTGTTAACTTATTAATAATATTGGATTTAAATATAGAACAATGAAGATGAATGGTCGATATATTTTTATCTCTACCAATATGTATACTAGTTATTCCATCGCCTACTCCGTAACGTGTTCTATGTTCAAATGATTCAGGGGCAAAGCTCTCTAAGCTGCCAAAGTCAACAGCAAAAAATCCCGTCTCCACAACTTTCAATCCTTCAGCGGGGCTCTAACTCGTGCAATCCTACAACGGGGAAGATACACCAAAAATAAAAATATAAAAATATAAAAATATAAAAATAAAAATAAAAAAAGGGCATAAATAGAAATCAGAATAGCAAAGTTGAGCAGACTCACTCTCATAGGTATATGATGTTCCCACTTCGCTCTTGCAACCAACCATACAAACCTCCAGACCCCCTTCTGAAGCTCGAAATGTTTCTTCAAGTAGTTACTTACTCTGTTTCCCAATGCCAGTGTATCAAAAAAAGCTATCAACCGCTCAGCCCTTGTAACCTCGCTTTTACACAGTAGCATTCAGCCCTATGAAATACAGTACCATACGCAGCGTACTGAGTTAACTATCATTTATACGGAGTAGTTGTCATTCTCCTCGCCTGTGGCTGCAAGCCTGCATTACATAATCTCGGTGCGTGTGGCTGTGTGCATGCAGCTAGGCTAGGCTACCCAACCAATTAAATAATAGTTAGTTGGTTGTGTTTTTTCACGCAAAGGAAAAAAGAATTGCCACTCCAAGCTAATAATGCCCAGTAGGAATGTATGGGAAGAAATATGCAAAGCCACACATATGTTACGATCGGGATAGCTCGGGAAAATTCCCTTGGAAAAAGATACTATCACAACCGGTAAAGAGTATTCCTCTAAATTTCTCTCATCATTTTTACTCTGTTAGTTTTGCTGTTATCTCATATATCGAATCCCACTCGCTCTGTTTTGGTCTATATTAACTAATGAAAAATGTAATATGTAATAATAATGATGCAGAGCATGACGAGAAAAGCCACATTTTTAAGCTTCGAGCATGAGCCACAACTGTCCTGGCCCTAACACAGATCGCGCTAAACAAGCAACCGAGATATGGGAAATTTCAGGGGTTCAAGGCCTTCTGATTGGGCGCCACAGTGAGCGTAGTCGTCTCCAGAGTTGGTACTACTCTTGTACTCTTGTAACTCCGTAGTCAGTGTGGCTTTATTTCTGCACCGCCTCATGAACTTAAACTATTATTTATGGCTTGTTTTATTTTACAGCTCTCAAAACAAAATCATTGTGTTTTATTGGTTCTATTCTCTTCATATGCAACGTGATATCTGTCTCCTTCATGTGGCAGTGATTTCCTTTCCTTCACCCGAGAGAAGGCTTATTAGTTTCATGCACTCATAGAAGTCATAGCCATGGTAGTAAAATATATTGAAACACAGCATTGTTTTGAGGAAATGCTGTGGTTGAGGAAGGAAGGAACTGTTCATGTCAATTGAAACAAAGAATGCAATTGACTCCATTGTTTTACACTGAAAGAAGAATAATTCAATTATATCTCAATATTCCATGCATCTCGTGCATACAATGGTAAAAAATAACGTCTCACTTTTTTCATTTATTTTTGTGATTTGATAGATTATACGCTTTCTAGGAAAAAAAAAAAAAAGGCAGGTCTTTCATCTCAGTTTCTGACTTTTTTAACACCATGTGCCACATACATTACATTACTCAACAGAGAGGGGAGGTATGCAGGTCTCAAGGTCTCATTTATATACATTTATATACCTGGTGCCAGATGACCGCGCAGCAGATCATTTTCTATGGATAGCTTTGCCATGGGACAATTAAATGAGAGCATGTCAATTTTCACCCAACAACACTTCTGAGACCCACTTTTAAAAATCTGTCAGAGTTAAGAAAAGGTCTTTTCTCATGCTATACTATGCTATGCTGTGCTATGCTGTGCTATGCTATGTGATACTATGACAATGGTCATCAGTCATTTGCCATGTGTATTTCTAAGGTTCTAGTGTAACAAAGCAAAAGTGCATTCTCGGCAGAAATAGTCTAAATCATATTGGCTTGGGGCCACCCCTCTCTTGTCTTCTCTATGCTTCCGTATGAGAAGGAATAAAATTAGAAATTCCAAAAAGGGGAGAAAAAAAACCCCAAAAAAAAAGAATCAAAACTACGCCGCCGTAAAAAAAAAAAAAAAAAGAGGTGTGTAACACAAAACCCTATGCGAATGCAACATTTCCAACAACAAGAAACACATGGCGAATCATGCTCGCGCATTCAACATTCCCGCCCTATCAAGAACCACGTTTTTCTTGTCTCTCTTTCTCTACCCCTCTCCTCTTTTCTCTCCCGTCCCACCCCAAACCCCTACACTCGATAACCAACATTAAGGTGATACAACACGCCACGAGCACAAAGCATATCGCATGAACCGGGGGTAAAATTAGAGGGGCCTCGATTGATCGGTCGATTTGGTGCATTCGCTCTTACATATCTGGAGCCGGAGGGACTCTCGGAGCTTCAAAGAATCATTCATTATTATTGTTTGAGAAGTTGTCGCCGTCCTCCTGTTCTATGATGTCTGTCGTCTATGTAATGTACCCTATGAGTTTCCGGCGTGCATTATTAAATATACGAAGAAAGATCCGGGAAATGAATAATAAATATAAAACGTAGCTCGTTCTTTATTTAGCTTGAAACACACGAAGTTGCGTATCACCTTCAAATCGCCACACGCCGAAGCCCTCCCTCTCCTCCCCCTCCTTTCCATCATTCCTTCGTCTGCCTGGCATTTATCCCCTTGTGTGGAAATGGAGCCGCCGTATACTACATTCCTGAAAACTGAGATTGCCGAGATTGACCCGTTTAGAGAAACCTGCGTGGGTGAAGCCAGTGTGTTTGATTGTTTGGTTCTTGGTGGATAGATAGATCCTGATTGCATCCCCGTCTCCCCCTTGCAGGAATGGGTTCCAATGTTGTTAACTGTATTATTTTAGAGATTTCTGAAAGGTTGCGCTGCTATTAATATCCTCTCATTTGAATCTGTTCAGCACAACTAGTTACCCAATGTTTGCACAGGAGTATTTCCTGATTTCTTCTCGGGGTTTCATGCAAATATTGTATGTAACTTACGGTATCAGAGAATATTTCCAATGATTATAACGAAAAGGTTCATCTGAAATCAACCATGCTTGATCTCAAGAGTTCATTATTATTATTAAATCTTGACACAACATGGAAAAGTTACAAAATACAAAAAGACATGGTGAACTAGGGAATACCAATGAATGATGATGCAAGCGATCTAGTTAGCAAAGGAACTAAAATATATTAGACACTTGCCAAAGGTCAACTCGAATCCTGTGATCCGAGAAGCAGAAAAATGGAAAACGCTTCAGGTAAACCGTCAAAACAAAATACGAGTGATAATGGCGATGATAGTCAGAACGAATGCTGTACTTCCCCGCGCCGCCATGTGGGAGTAATATAATTATCCTGGATGCAGTGCAACCAACCAAACCAACCAACTGTAAGTTACCTTTTCTTTCTTCCTTTCTAGCTTGCATCCTTCTATTATTATTACTCAAAGATGGTCTCCCTTTTCTTCCGACACATTACAGATTACATGACTGATAATTAGTTTCCTCTTGGCAAAATATTGTCGGAGATCTGGGGAAGGAAAAGAGCCAAGACCCTTCACCTCCCTCCCGTCTTCTCCTCCCCCGACACCTTCTTCCGCTTGCTGACGGACGAACCGAAAACTCTTCCTTACGGACGTAACCAGATAGGTGCTTTTTAAGATTGTGATTAAGTGAATGAGGGATAAATAACATACAGTACCTATCTACATATCTCCAAAGCATGTAGTCAGGAGGAGGGAAACATCACAAGGAAACCCGCTCTAAAAACAAACCAAAACAAGAATAATTATAACTATTCTCTTGTCTGGGCTGTGTTTATTTGGGCCAATATGCAGCCTGGATTAGCAATATTGAAGCCAATGAGATGAGATGCCCTCTGAACGGACGGCAGACGAAGTAACGCTAAAGTTGCCCCCAAAATATAAAAATAGAAAAATAAACTCGCCCCAATGCCCGCAAAATGAAAAACAGAACATCAAATGAGATCTTCTTGTTGGCTTAAAGCGTAACTAACAGTTCATTCTCGGTCGACCCCCCCTACATATGCCCAAAGCCCAAAGCATAATAGCAAAGACCGCCTTCTTCCTTCCCCCCTTCTCTGCGGACGGACGTTGTAACTACACTACAGGACTCACTACCAGATTTCAGATTTCGCCCGCCGGTGGGAAGCGAGTGATGGTTGGAAAAAGGAATATAATCCGGCTCTCTGCGGTGAGACCATGGAAAACGTGGCAATGTAAATGAGATGGGGGGCCGGGGGGGGGGGGAGGGAGTCAATATGCAATAATAATTCTATCATCGTTTCTCGCGAGCGAATGAGGGTTTGTATCTATGAGCATGATGAACTGGATGGATAGATGGCCGGCCGCCCCTACCCTGGGCTCTAGTTCTATTTTGATAGTGTTTGATTAATGGATGGATTATTTGAATCATTTCTACGAGCCTTCTTTTTATTTTATTTTATTTTATTTTTTTGTCCTACAAAGCATACATACGTTAGCCAAATTGAGTATATACAATACCCCGTGGTATGCAGGAAGCTCGTGGACGATTTATAACCATCCTTTCTTTAAAGTGTTATAGGTAGGTAGGTGTATTGGGGATAGAATCTATCACTGCCAACCTAAAAGAAAAAAAATCACCACCACTCAAAACCGTTTCCTCTGCAGATCACACCAGAGCTGCTAGGACGAAAATGGTTTCCGGAGGCACTTTTTACAGGTTTTTTACTGAGGTTCGTGCTCTCTGATCGATGGTTCCTTTTGAAATAATGATTTTCATTCCCCAGTTCTAGCCAATCCTCGTGGAATGGAATCTAATGTCTTTACGGGATTATGGCTTGTAACTACGCTATTTTACGCCATGTGTGGCTGGGACTTTTTTTATACGAGAGGTGGGAAATACTTTTTTTTTTTTTTTTTTTTGCAAAATGAAATTCAGACATTCGTAATTTATATTTTACCATTTCATGTTTTTTTAAGGTTTAGGATCGTACCTACACAGTAGGCTAGATACCTTAAAATAGCAGCCTCAAAAGGTACGGGCATGCGCCTAATCGAGATCGCTTCCGTGAGCTAACCCAAGATACGGGTCTGTTGGGTAAACGTCAGTGAACGTTGCTGGCAAGTATCAATTGGAAGTGGTAGTGTGTAGTCGTGGTAGTGGGCAAAGAGAAAAAGAGAATGGCCTTGAATAATAATTATTAAATAAAGAACCTGAAGGATTATTGTTGACTTTTGCTAGAGAAAATATGATCAAATATTAAGAAAATTACAAATATTTCGCATGTGGATCATTTCTAGGAGACATATTAATTAGCGACCACGACAGCGACGCGAGAACGTTGACAGAAAGCAATGCCCCACAATAGGTTAAATCGGGATTCATGCTTATCACCAACGTTATTTGATTGTCTTGTTCCTCTGTATGAAAAATAAAATAATAGAATACAATATCGCCACCTCCAACTTCTGGACAACAAATCCCTGAGGCTCAAGTTCACCAACGCATCCCATTGGCTTATTCCCGCCAAGGCTCAATACTAAAAATTCCGAGACGTGTTCCATTTGTGTCGCGTGCAGCGATAAGAATTATAAATAATAGTGGCTCCATAAAAGGCTCACGATCTTCAATAATATCTAACTGGATCCAGATCTCCTGGTCGGTCGGTAATTTTCCTATGGCATTTGTAATTGGCGAATACCGATGAATGCTGGCAGAGAAAGAAGTTGAAGTGATCAACCTGCTTCGACCGGCCGGTGACCTGCTACGTACAGCGTACGGTTTTTTCCAAAATCATTATTATTGTTATGATTATTATTGCTGGTTCTGTATCATAGACAGAGGATTATTGACCGGGGGACTCTTGTCTATCGCAAAGTGGCCCCAATGGTTCGGCGCTCCCGTGTGGGGATTTTGCATGCGAGCGAAGCGAAGAGAGCATGCATGCATCCATATACGCCAAAGGGGGGGGGGGGATTGGGAGTGGGAGTGGGAGAGGAGAACGAACGCCCTGCAGTGGTGTGCCTGGTGCTTACTCCAAGACCATATCAACATGTGACGGGTGGTTGGTGTATCCTGTTTGTTGATGCTTGTTCTCGGCTTTTGACTTTTTCATAATTATGAATAACCCCCCTTAACCAGCCGGGTGGATCTCAAGGTTGGACATCATCATCATAGTTCGTTAGAATCGACGACAGGCTCCAGGACCCTCCCACGACAACAACAAACAAACATGCGCATAACTTATCGTCCGAGTCAGTTTCTTCTTCGACGTGGAAGGAAGTTGAAATTTCCCTTTCCCCTTTCCCCTTTCCCCTTTCCCGCCTTTTCACCCTGAACCCCCCTGTCCGCACCCCGATCCGGTTTAGCGTCGCAGCTGTTTTGGTGAGGCCGGGTTCGCGCTGATTGGCCGCAGCCGCCTGACCGCTCCCTCGCCCTATCGAATTGGGAAAGTAACCCTAATCCCTGCGCCAAGCCCAAGCACTACGCTGTGTATGTACTGTATGTAATGTACAGTAACATTATTACTAACAAGACAACAGACAAACAGACAACGATCAGAGTGGAACCTGCCAGACGGATTATTCTTCCGGGCGAGCAACTTAGCATTAATAATAGTTAGCAACAAGCAACAAGGGCACGGTGCAAGGGTTGTAGTTCCCCCCTCCGAACCACCGACGACGGACCCCCGGAGGGGAGGATCTTGATGGTTTCTTGGCCTAGGGAGAGCTCCTGGTTGGCCTGGTTGGCTTGGTGCATCATTCAAAAAGAATTCTAGTCCGGCCTAAGGAAGGGTGGCACCTTGGCACCCTTGAGGCTTGGGGGAGACGATCTCCCAAGGTTTGTTTTCCATGAAATGGGCTTGGGGCCTGTTGGAGTTCGTGGCATGGCGTGGCGCCCCTAGTGCGGGATTCTATCGGCCGCTCCGGGTCGACCATCTCGTACTAGTATGTGTAGATTATTATGTATGAAGCGGGCCAAAAAAAAAAAAAAAAAAAAAAGTCATTCTTGGGTTGACACTAATAACAATAGTTTCCTGTGCACGGGAAATAAAAACACGAAGCCACCCCTGGGAGACAAGAGAGATGAGATGAGAGATTGTCTAAAACAGCGAGCGTCCCTCCTTTTCGGTCAACACCGACAATGCCGACAGACAATGCCAGGCAGGCTCATGCTCCGGGGATTCTATCGACCTTGTTTCAACAAAACGCCTTCTTTGATCTCCCAAGTTATCTCTCCTTTCATTTCTCAACGCCTTTTTTTAACTTAGCCTAGCCAGCCTGTGATCCTTCAGGTTATTCTGCTATCCATACGCGGAACTGAGGTCTGGTCTTTTCAATCCTTCGCGGCTCTTTTCAAATGATCATAGGGCTGATTAGGGGCTTGCTTCTTCATGTGAATTACTACTAAATAACCATGCACTCATAGAGCGCATCCCTCCCCCTCCCCTCCTCCTTTTCTTTGGCATCGTGCATGCAATGTTGGTCGTCATCAATTGTGCAAGCCGTCCTCTACATTTGATAGTTCTTAATAATTTCGTGTTGTGTTGTTTTGACACCTCCATCCCAAGGGACAAAATAGCAGACAAAAATAATTCAAAAAATAAATAAATAAATAGAAAAGGTAGCGTTACATCAAAGAGTTTCATATCAAAAAAGCCCATCCGTCAAAAATTAATTATGGTTCAACAGTGGCTGTAGCTGGCTGTTAGACCTGCGTCATACATAATAATAATAATAAGAAGAAGAAGAAGAAGAAGAAGAAGAAGAAGAAGAAGAAGAGAGCACATGTATGTCGCCTTTGTCCGCTGCAGGATTCCGCCCTTTTGCATTCAATCCAACATGGAAGAAGGTTGGGGGTTCGTTTTTTCTTCTTGGCTGGCTCAGCCCTATGCACGTACCCCTTAGTTAACTACCCATAGGGCTACGTAACCTTACCGGCGGACATTTATTATTTGCACATTGTACAGTACATGTAACTGCCTTGCCATTATTCACGCCGGCTTATTGTTATTTTATTTTTTATTTTCTATTGTAATTTATTTATTTCCCCCGAATCTAGCTTTTGCCAATTTCATTTTACTTTTTTACTATTACTATATTAACCCACGAAAAATGGATAAGAAGAAGAACCTTGGAAGGGGCCGGGTGGGGGGAATTTGTCGGAGAAATATATCCTTACTAGTAGAAGTCCAGCATCAACAATCTTCACCATTGGCAGAAACCTCGCTTAACTATGTAACTGGCTCTTCCTTCATTTTCTGTGAAGATAGATAGGAGCTCTCGGTCAATCAAAATGGGATGATGAGACGAAGGAATCAATTACGATTTTCTTCACCTACGTTCTCCCGCCTTTTTATGCGGCAGAGTGGTTGTGATGTGTGGCCGCCGGCGTGCCGAAGTTAGTCCTTCTTCCGCGCTTAATTCCCTCTTACATACTCCGTAACTATGCTATATTATGTAGATAGTAAAACGCGCGTGCTTCTTGTTCCCCCCCCTCTCTCTCTCTCTCTCAAACATCTCATTATTATTATTGGCTCGGGGAATCTGTTGGGGGGGGGGGTTCGAACATGGGAAGAACGCTCACGAGAGGTTCCTATTAATCCGGGCTTCTGATAGCCATATTCCTCCCTGACCGTTGTGAAACGTGCCGGCTAATAATAAAGCGCTGCGGATGGAGCCTGCCAAACCTGCCCACACACGCACCGCCTTGTTTATTAATCTAATTCTGTAGAGATGTTGGGGGGCGGGGGGATTCCCCCCTAGAAAGTGTTGAGAGGACACTCCTAGCGATGACGCGGAAAAGGGGCGTGTAAAGGGGCGATTGATACTCAAGACTTTCTATTTCATCATATTGTACGGAGTAGTGTGAAAAGGAGACTTTTAACGTACATACATAACGCTGTAACTACATGTTCCGTTAAAGAACTAAAAATCCTTCTTGAGAACGAACGTCTGCCGCCCGACCTAACCGGCCCTGGGACCGTAAGTAGACAGAAGGCCGATGGAGCTACTACTCTGGAGATGATGAATCTATCCCCTGCTCGAACCCAAGCCCGATGGTTGGGTAAAACTAACTGCGTAACTGCTCCGTAGTTCAGTTTTCGACGATGACTGAAGAAAAAAAGGTTCAAACCAGCGTTTGATGTCGCGATCCATCGCGCCGGGCAGGATTCGCGGGAAGCGAGCGCTGGGATTGGGATCAAAGGTTAGCTTCTTCCCTTTCTTCCCTTTTTTTTTTTTTTTTTTTCCTTTGATTAGTTATTGATTATTCACCAGCAGCGGAAGACTTCCGTGGTTGAATTGTACTTGTGTTTTTTTGTTAGTTCCAGCGGGGTTCGGTGCAGCGTGCTCCGTAGTCGTAGTTAGATGTCAAATGGACCCTTTTTTAAAAAAAAAAAATAATAAATAAATAAATCTTAAATAAAACTATTTGGGTACCTAGGTATAACTACTACAGAGTACTACTTACGAATAATAAACTCCAACCAGTTAGCCATAAGGAACGAAAAGGAAAAGAGGTGGACACGTCTGGTTGTAATGATAAAGCCCTCTATTCTAGAAAAAACTTTTTGACAACTTCGCCGAAGTTGGGCGGTGTTGTTGTCGGGGTAAACTATGTAAGTTAACAACTATTTAACTCGAACTGCGGTGTTTTGATCTGCGGAATGATTGCTTGGAGCGGGGTGCATTTATTATTTAATATTTTGTGCTTAGTTAACTACAGTTTGTTGGGATAAAGTTATGCGATCAATGAATGCACTGTTGTTGTGCGCCCGAAAAAGGCGAAGAACGAGACGAAGAAGAGCGGAGACAGTAATCAATAATGCCGTTTATGAATCTTACTGTTAGATATTGCATATGCAATATGCACGCTTTACAATGACATTGTCACGCCGCTTGTTTGCTGCTGGTGCTGCTGTTGTTGTGGGGAGGAAATGACGGTGAGGAAAACATCGGTTCGGTGTAGCAACCGTCCAATGTTTTTCATCCAGTTCTTCTACGAATACCTTTCTTCATTAGTAGCCCTGGCCTGGCAATCATCATAGGTTATCATAGGACAACGTTGATCTAGACAATTGTTCTATCACTTCTTCCAATGGAACTGTAAATTCAAAGCCGAACCCGCCGAGTCTTGCCAGCCAACCAGATAACTTCAAAAAAGAAACACCGCCACTTCTGGGATCGGGGATCTGACCTCTCCCCTTCACTGTTGAAACCGACTCACCTCCGAATCACCATATAGAGCTCCCCGCTGCCCGCTTGATCTTGCGGTCTGCCGTTTTGCTTGCCGGTCTGCACCACCACCAACACTCACCCCAACCCACACACACACACACACACACACACACACACACTGCCATTCATGCATGTATGTATGTATGTATGCTTGCATCATTTTGCATCTTGCATAACCGGGCAAACCCTTGCACATCATTTCCTCCCCCCCATCTCCCCCCTTTAGGGCTGGACGTCAAATGGGCCGAGAGTGTCACGTTGGAATCCATCCCGTAGTTTGAAAGACTCACTATATACATACTAATACTAAGGAATGAATGTGTGCGGGAAGTACAGTACATGTAGTAAATAGGTACACTCAAAAATAACAGGAATAGAGCCCCGCCGTTTTCTGCTGGATATACATATATACATATATACACATATATACATCATACCAACGGTATTGCACGGCCTCCATGATGATGGTACGGATGATACGGGCACCGGTACGCGTTGGCGTTTGGCTAGGCGTTACATACATGCATATAATGGTTATCTATCTTGGCCCCTTTTGTAGTCTTGGTGAAGTGTTGACATGTGTTTTGCGCGAAAGGGAAAGGAAGGAGGTTGGGAAAAAGGCCCGGAAACGCGGTTCCGGGGGTATCTCTCCCTTCGTTTACAGATTAGTTTTGGCGAGTTTGAGATTTGCATTGTTTCTTTTTGCAATGAAGCGACTTCATTGTAAAGTACAGTAGTTCTCATTGAAAGGATGGCAAAGATGACTCAAGAAATGCAAAGTAATAAGTTAATCCCATCGCGAACTTGTGTGGATAACAACTTCCGAACCCGACTGTGGCAATGTTGTTTGCCGTCCGTCGGTTTCCCGTCATCATCGGCCTGCCCGCCCATTCGGGCTTCTCCGAAGAAATTTGCAAAGCATTTTGTACTGTGCATGTATGTACAGTACATTCCAATTAGGCCCTAATCAAGGATACGCGGTAACGTACAGCAACCCATTTTCAGCCGCATAGATCGCAAGACCTTGCAACGAACGAACACGGCAGAAAATAAATTCTTCGTAGGCAATTTTGAGGATCTCCATTGCCTGTCTGCCTTGCCAATCCACATAGTAGCCACAAGAAAGGACCCTAGAGACAAATCAAGTTGCAAGACTCGACGGTAGCAACAAGGGGTCGAGGGGTCGATCGAAGCGGCGATGACGAACAATGAATGGTAAACGGGCTCAGCAGATCACCCTCCTGAAGAAAACAAGATCAAGGAATCTGGGAAGCACGCCCATGGTATCCAGTACGTACCCTATTCTCGGAGCGGGTGAACTGAAACGAGGAATTAGCGTTTGGTGCTTTCCAAGTGAGTGAGCCCTCATCTTTCAGCTCCTAATGGTCACAATCCCCCTGTGCTGTGAAGGTTTAAGAATATTGTACTGAACCTATCAGTGAGCATATGACGGGATAATCTTTGTTTCCCAGAATTTCGGTTTGGGCTGTATTGATATTTGTAGATTTCTGGATTGGGAAATAGAGATCTGGCACTTTTTCTAGACCAATATGCTAGGAATGCCATGCCTCATTTTCGAGAGTCTGGTTTCCTCGAAGGAAATTTGGCAACAAAAGGTACTGGTTTCGTGTTGGTCCTGTGACTGGGGGAGTTGAAGGAAATGCCTTCCATCACTCGGGGTGTACAAGCGATCATAAACAGGTTGCACTCAGGAACTTTCCGAGGCATCATCGCTCCAGAGGGGTATGGATGGAAGGGGCTTATTCAATGATGATTGAGAAGAAGCGAGCCAGAGAATAAGAGAATCAGGTCTACTTGTGATGCAATATACCTCTGCAGCGGAGGGGTGTGGGAGTAATTCTGGTGCGGGTATTTGTCGGAAAGAAACTCCATCCGTCGCACGATCCTAGGGCTTAACGGTATGACAGTTCCCCCGGGGCGCTCGGTTACTTCAACAAGGAGGTTGACACTGGTGCAGCCAGGTGAGGTTTGGGGGCCCGGGGAGGGGTTTTAGGGGCTTCATCACCGGCGGCAAGTGGAAAAGGTGAGACGAGGCCCAAATAGAGACAGAACACTGGCGAAAATCTCAGGGATGCAGTAGGGCTGACATTGGGGCCTGCTAGAGGGAGTATGCGCGTAAATGCGCCCTGTATGTGCGACGACGAACGGACCCGATGTCTCACGGATGAAATTTCGCATGGCTTACAGGTTGAAAGGTCACCACAGGTTTCTCAACAAAAAAATAGTAGGCGATCATCGGTTCAGTTAAGATGCTCTGTCCGCGATTTGGACGCTGGGGTTGAAATTAGCTGGATGGCTAGGCCATGGGCCGTGGACCATGGGTTGTTCAATCCGTATGATAAAGGTCAAACTATACCAAGTGCTTATTTCTTTCCGGGCAAGAGAGACAAGAAGGGGCATTTAATCCGATAGTTTGATTTCCGTTCCGTACTGTCTAATTAAATCGCGGCCGAATTGGGAAGTTGCGGAGATTTTTGTGATCAGCAGTCCAGATGTCAGTGCTTGCTATGCATATTTTCTGCAATACCTGGACGTAGATGACATGGTGAGTCCCTGGCATGGTGAAGGCCAATGACGGGAAGCTCAAAGAAGAATGAAGATGTGATTTCTAAGGAGAGCCCCTTTTCTGGACACGATAGCGCTCTGGAGCGACGTGCCGAGCACGAGAGCCGGCTGATAACAACGGTATGGCTTAGATTTGCTCGGTATCCTGCGCTTGCATGGCCTAGCGTCAGAGTATTTGGACTGCCCAAGCTTAAAAGACAATGGCCTGTATTTCCCCGCCTTGCAAACGGTGACGATCTGAAGGAAAATTAGTTAGAGTCTATTTCTGGATGCGGCAATGCGGCCTGATGGTTGAAAGTCGATTGGTAATGTGCTAACCATAGGGCTGATCCTTTGGGTAATCCTCCAACCAGAGGCAGAATTTGGAATGGTTTCTACCATGTCCTTATCATTGATATACTGTGAACATCAGAAGGGATAAAACGACCTGCCCCATAGCATAAGGGTCATTCTCATAAGCGTCGATGCTAAGCCTCTTAACTCTGCATAGCATGCTGATGATCACCGTTGCTATTAACAACCGCCCTCTAAAAATAGAAACAGTATGGTGCTCCTTCCGGGGGATATTGACTGTCTCATGATATGATCGATGAGCATCGATAGACATCATCGTTTTCTATGATACCATTAAGTATGCGTAGAGTAGAGGCGGGTGTCTACTGAATTGCTGAATTGCTTGCACTGTTGAATTGCCTAGAGACCTATTAGCAGCAAGTAACTGATTTTGGGGGTATGTGGGTCTACCAACACTGGGAATCAAATTGAACATTATCTTTCACTTTATCCCGCTGAATTAATAGGAGAGGGAAATGGTTCCTGCAGGGTTGACTTTAGGCAATTACTGACTCCGTCCGTGATTTATATCTTTGAAAGCTGTTGGACACCCGAATATTGGCGTTGCTAACTGCATAGAGGTGATTGAATAAAAGCATGGTTTAATGAGGATTATGAATACAACTGTCCTCTCTCTCTTGGAAACAAGAAATAAAGATATGCGATTAATCAACAATGGAGATTGTAGGTGTAGTTGGCCATGTTGTGCAGTCCCTGATTCTGTTGGTTGTCGATTTGCGCCAAGAACTCGCGACGTCAATCTCGGAGCCGCGTCTTCTGCAAATAACACGACTCGATAGCTTCATTTATCTGAACACCATTAGCACGTATCAAGATTGCACTGTCCGTAGCATTAGTACGTGTTCCCCATCAATGCACGACATGCTATCTGGAATCACAGAGAACCTCTCAGCGCTCGTCGCGAGACGGTTCACTGCGGCCAAGCAGTCTGGGGCTCTTGTTGTCTCACAGACAGAGGTCACGACAATATCGGCCTCAAATACACCAGTAAGCCATTGTACCCTTTCCAGATTGGTTTCCCGATTGATGTACATTCTAGGTCTTTGGCAAGCTCATTAATCCTCGGTATCATACCAGTTCCAACTTAGATACTGTCCCGCTCTCGCAAAAAAGCCGATCAATAACCCACCCAAAGCACTTGAACATATACCGTCCGACATAAAGCGAGATCCATTCCACGACCCCCCGGAAGATCTTCTCATTGCTCAGTTTCCACAGCCTGATCCGTCCTACATATTGGTTCTGAATAAATTCCCCGTTATCTCGGATCACTTTATACTTGCGACCAAAGGTTATAAGCCGCAGTCCGATCTGCTCGAGAAAGAAGACCTCCAAGCAACATTTCAATGCCTAAAAGCATGGCAGAAGCATGAAGGTCCACCCGGATCGAAACGCCTATTTGCATTTTTCAACTCCGGGGAACACAGTGGTGCTAGTCAACCCCACAGGCATATACAGTTTTTACCTGTGGAAAGAATAGCCCAGCCCAATGATGAAACGTGGAAGCCATTAATTGATGGAAATTCTTCCTCCGCAGCTAAGAACTTCGATCATCCGAGCTCTTTTGGCTTGCCATTCGCCTGCTATGCTGTCAATCTACCAGCAGAGCCATCCGCGGAAGAGCTACATAATTTATACCTGCAATTATACAGGATGGCTGTGAAGGTTGCGCAACAGTCCCCGGTCTCTCAATTAAATGCCGTGGATCCGATGAATTTGAAAACCGACGGACCGGCTGCTATTAGCTATAATTTAGCCATGACTACATCTCGAATGATGATATGCCCTCGAAAGAGCGAGTTTACATGGCTACCAATAGACCCTAAACATCGAAACGAAACCCTAGAAGCAGGTCTGGTTAAACTCAACGGGACTATTTTAGCGGGGACATTGATGGTGAAAGCAGCCGTTGAATGGGATGTGCTGAGAGATCAGCCTGATTCCTTGGAATCTGTGTTGGAAGCAATTGGGTTTCCAGATCCATTTGTGTCTAGGTGTTGACACATGCATAGAAGGCTCTCCGAATGCGTTCTGTATGCGACTGACATACGCTATTATACCGAATTTCAACAGACTACAAATTGAAGACAAATTGAACCGCTATTTAATACCAATCTATTGGGATTATGAACAGCTATTATATTTGACCGCTGTTACCGGGAAACGAAATAACGAGGCTACTATAGGCTCAGCCTACATTTAATGCTAATTAAGATGAAATTTATTTACTCGATTATATATAAATGGATATATTAAGGTATTTATTACGGTGCGTATACGGCTTTCTCCTCCCCAGATATAACTTCTGTTCTGCGATCAACCGAACTGATGTTCTGGCCGTAGTGTTATAATATCTTGTTGGATCTGTGACCATTTCTTCTTACACGTGGCATTGCCGAAATGGTACGAGCCGCCGTTTTTCGAGATATATTCCCCCACTTGCTTCCATGATATTTTAGGATCCTTGATGTCCTCTCCTACGCCATCTTGTATCGGATTAGCGTATTTCCGCACGGCTTCACAAAGCAGTCGCACCTGTCATCAGGAACATATCCTTGTTAGTGGAATCGTACATTGGGAAATACATATCGACAGAACAATTTACTCACATCCTTTTCCTGCCATCCTGGCTTCCTTACCCGCTGCTCTTTTCGCTTAGTTAGTGTTCTAAACCGTCCTCTTAGCGTTGACTCTGCCTCGAAGAAGTTTCCCTTTTCTTTAATTTCCTTATACGGCATTCCTGCGCGTTTGCACTGGATCAGAAATTCATCTTTTTCACTGGCACGCTGGGTGCCGATGCTTGCTGTTCTCTGGGCCTCACATCGCTTCATCTTTCGGGGCCTCCCTGGTTGCTTTATGGCTGGGATCTCGTTTGGCTCAAAGGGCTCATCGCCTGTCAAATGGCCTTGCCATTCGGGGAGCCTTTCACGTCCGGGATTTTGATCAAAATATTCCATCGCCATGTTCATATCGTGGAAACTTAGAGAATCGAAATTTACCGGCTCGTGAAGTGTGTCTGGAGTAAAGCATGAAGAGAACGAAGATTCTGGGCTGCATTGGTTGCCTAGAGGGGTTGTGTGCAGCTCATTCCAGTCACTCTGTGCGATTGGCAGACTGGTCTGGGTGATCAACGACGCAGAGAAATCTTTGTTTACCCCATTAGACCATCGTTGCGGTTGTTGGATAAAGTTTTGCGCTCCATGCCACCACCCGTTTGTTGTTTCTGCTGTGAAATCTGGGACATATCCTCTGTTGCCCGTTTGTTCTAGACATTCAATGGTGGTAGGATATGCTGATTCGGTGTTTGTATCCGAGGTGCGTGATATGGGCATATATGGCATTCTAGTCATGGGCTCGGCCCATCCTGGGTAGATGTATCCATGTTGATGAGACCCACCATCCGCAGACATGTTCTCATCCTTCCTATCCCCTTCCCAACTACTGTTGCAGTTTTTGAACTCATGTATTTGGGTCTGTACCCTTGGGATATAATGCTGCCCTCCAGGAGTCTCCATAGCAGGGTAGATCGAACCGGACGGAGTACATCCAAGGTTGGATCGAATTAGGGGTTGCGGTACCGTTGGCACTGTCGAATTACTCTGTCTCTGGCCGTTACGCGGTACCGTTGCAGAGAAAGCCGGGGCGGGTTCGCTGACTGGCCCAGATCCCGCTAGGCTCGCCCATCCAGTGTTCGTATCGGTTGTGATGTTTGGTCCCGGGAGGCTATCAAAACGAAATTCAACATTTTGAGGGCCTCTGTGTCGTTGTTGTGTCTGCAGCCTAACGGAGTCTCTGTCATCATATTTACTTTCGGTGAATCTGACGTTGGTGGATATCGCATAACTTGAATTCAAAGTTTCAAATTTGCCACTCGGGTTAAAAAATTGCTCGGGATGGCCATAGTTTGCTTGCGGCTCGAGATCTTGTGAAACAACTTTTCCGCACCACGCGCTTTGTGTCGCCGAAAAGTTTGATGTCGCAGATCTTCTAGGTATAGGGAGTTGGTCGTGAGCAATGGATATATCTCGATGGGCCCGTCGCCGGGACAAAGCCATATCTCCACAACAGCTGTTGGGAGGAGATTGCTATGCTCTCCAGCGCCAAGCCACCTGGAACGATATGGTGCAAGCCGATGAAACTCCTGTCCTCTACCAGAGAGGACTAGAAGAATTTGAACAGAGTCAACTCGGGCAGTTGTTGTAATGCTTCTTTGTTGGATGGACCAACGCGAATCTTCGAGATTTTCGAGAAATTGATGTGAAGCTAGCTAAAATTTTATAATAGGGATTCTAGCGAGCTACGGGTACGAATTCTGAGCACTCCCTCCAGTGGAAATATTCTAATATTGACACGTTAGGCATTCAGCTGCGTTTGAATATGAAATGTTCGATGTACAATAGAAGCTTACCTGGAAGCACCGAAGACTACCTCCTTCGTTTACGTTCGATTTAAGCTGTGTTTGACTCTTAGTTCCCAGAATGAAACACCGAAATCAATATCCAAGTGCTGTGAAAATTTAGCAAAGATAATGAATTTGAGAAATATATTTTAGTTTTCTAGGTGATGGTGACTTCGTTAAATTATTTCGGATTTATGAAGTCCATCGCGGAGAATTTACAACTATTTTCACCGATAAAACTTTCCTCGCAACCTCCCTTGTTGTGGTATGTGGCACTTGCAGCTGAGACGGCATGGACCAATATTCGAAGCGTGGAAAGCCGTTGAGTGTCCATAATCACTGGTCCAACATTCCCCGGGTTGCAATAGAGCTTAATATTGCTTTTAAAATTGGTTAGGGAAGCAAACAACATGTGTATGGATCTACCCGATTTCCTCGCCAAAATAAAGGCTTTCCCATTCCAAAAACTGATAGTTGAAGGCTCCTTACATGCATTGCCCAAGGTAACGGTCCCTTGCGCATGCCTATCACCAACTTTTGTTGGTATTCGATGATCTTAACTGCAAGCCATCGCAACTGGCAACACTCTAGAATTTTCGAGGAACATGCCCTTCGATACGTCAACATTAGCTGTCATCTGTTTCTAGCAACCTCCCGCTTTCCTTTGAGTGTAACTTCCGCGCATTGCGGGTTGCATTATTATTAGAATCTAACGCATCAGTGAAGGCTAACGTCATGTTTTCCTTATGTTTTGGAGAAGCCGCAAACGTGTTCTTCAGTTTCAATGATAATCTGGCATGTCATGAGTGAAGTAGGGACTTCCTATGATATGACTGGTTGCATTCCTGACAAACTTGGCGCCCTGCGATCTGAGCGCCCTAAGCCTTGTCGATTGTGTTGTCACATCTTTCATTGCACACCCGCCATGCTCTCAATGGTCGAGAGAAAAGCCACGTTTTGGCTCCAATCCTCTTCGAACGCAGGTTTCCTTGCAGGCGGATTCTTGTAAGGATTTCTTGAAAACACTTACCACTCTAACATTTAGCAGCAGATGTTGCAGGCATGGACCTGCAATGCACTGGAATGTTCAACTCTTATGTCGTCGAAGAATACACTCTATTTCAGCTATTTCATGTGTCCGAGTATGTCCCAGTGCAGCATTAAGGAGCGCTAGCTACCTTCAAATGCTTCCAGGGCTGCTTCCACCTCAAAGTTTGCTCGTGGCAATCTGTGGCTGTGCCGATTAATTGACTGCCGCCGTTGCCTCACGTTTTTCTTTTCTTTTTCTTTTCTTCTTTATTCCCGATTGCCTTTTTATGCAAAGCGGATGCTTAGAGGCTTGGGAATATTTAACTTTCGGTTCCTGTATGATCTAGATCATTCATTGCCTCCGTGCTCTTCCTGCTCTTCCCGCTCGTCCTGATCACCACCGGTCCTATCACCTTTCTCAATATAGTCATGCATGGGGACCAGCCCTGAACGTGGCCATTACCCCACCCTTCTTTCGTTGTCCAGCAATATAAAACGAGTTTCAGCTATTAGTCATTGCCTTATCTAGTAGTTTTTCTGATTTTTAAAATTTTTCTTTTCTTTACTTTTCTTGTTTTTCCCTCTCTTTTGGTGATATTTTTGAAAGTTGGGGTTAAAATTTGACACTTTTGTCCCTGCAGAGCAACAGGAAAGCTTGGGACGATAGAGCCCGATAGGGTCCCCGTACAAATCTAACGATCTCTGCATGGCAGGTTTATTGATAGGTCAGAAATTAAAACGCCTAGCAGGAAGAAAGGGATGAAAAATTGACAACCTTACATCACGCTAGTGCTATATGCTGCAAATTGCCGAGCCAATCCCACACTGTTGTCCCCCATGACCGCCAATAACACGATGAGGCTGGATAAAAAGAAAAGAAAAGAATAATCCAAGATCAGGATCGGCTAGGGCCCGCCTTTAGGCACGCTGCAATGCAGCTCTTGACGCAACATATACAGCGTATTGCTGTAGGCACGGACATGGACGCCGGAACCCTACCTGCAGCTGCAGAACTTTCGAGAAGGTAAAACCGAGAGGGGAGGACCTTCGTCCGTGCTTCGAGAACACCTTCCTTTCCCGCCTTTCTTCTGGTCCTTTTCCACGCCTCGTTTTGCTTTTTCTATTGAAGGAGCAGATGGAAGGCATGGCTTCGTGCTAGGGATTGTCTGAGGGTGAAGAAACCGCCGCAGAATGAAGAGCCAAGATCAAACGGCAGAAAGGCTGGACCATGAACTATAATGTAGCTCGGAGAATATTGCCATTTCTTCTTTCTTGAACCCCAACTATAAATTTTTTGTACTGGAAGCATTTTTTTGCCGGGCTAAGCGAGGGAACTAGTTTACCACATTTCAATCATGAATTATCTTTTATTATTATTGTGCCTATCCGGGCATGTCCAGTTTTTAGGGAGGTCGTCAATGGGAGCTTACCTTCTCCCCCCTTTGTTTATCATGCACCTGTTCTCTGTAGCTCTGCCTTCCTGGACGTGCCAAACTGCAAGCCTGTGGGTTTATGCTCGAGCGTTTCTTTGCGAAAAAATAGTTGTGCATACGCACTTCACCTTTGTCTACGCGGGTACATCAATGTACGGTACATATACATACATATATTTACTTCGCATGACATGAAAAGCTTTTCATTCTTTGACGTGTATGCACTGCACATGTACAAATACCCGTTGCAGAAACGCACAAAATATTCATACAAATCCCTTCCTGGGAGCATCTGATTGCCTGGTTTACAGTAACGTCGGACATACATGTACATCTACATACCTAGTTACAGCTCCCGACCCAAAAATAAACCCTTCAACTGACCCAAATATTGTGAACCAAGAGCAGCTCAGCTGTTCATAGGAATAAAAATGCGTTTCATAACCAGTTTCACATCAATTTCCTTCCTGCACATTGCCGTTATACATTTGACACCCTTCATAAAATGTTGAGAGACAACAGGCCAACTTTTGCTTGGTTGTGTCTCGTTTCAATTCAATAGCTTAGTCGATAGATCACAATAACTTCGGCTGGTAAGGTTAACTAGTCTTTGCAATTTCCACCCTTCTTGCTTCCTTTCATCATTGACTTTTGGTTTCATGTCATTTCTTGTTCCGTTTGATTCTTGCCTCCTCGCTCTTCTCGTGTCTTTACCTTTCTGAAACCAAAACCTAGATATGGTGTTCCATATCTGCTGTTTACCCCGTAAATTGAAGTCTCTATGCTCGAAAACATCTTCATCTGCTACGGTGCACAGGCGATAGAATCCCTAACATCCCTGCTTATCATGTCTAAGGTAGACTGAAGGCTCTTTCCATGTAACCTCCCTTCTCCTACACTACACGTTGCTGAAACGGTTGGAATGAAGCCCTCAGTTGAAGCTGAGGAACGAACACCGGAAACTGAAGTGTAAATACACATGGTTTTATTTTATCTCAGGCCTATAACCCAAATAGATACGTTGCCTAGCCGAGAGAAAAGTTGGGGAGAATGAACTCATTCAGGCAAGGATGGAAGGGGGTACCCGCTTTCTGGCAAAAAAAAAAAAAATAAATAAATAAATAAAATAAAATAAAATAACACAAAGGCAACTTATACAACTTTCCCGTAATTCCACCTCTGCAGCACGCTGATTACTACACCAGCTACTAAAAGAAGCCCATTGAAGCCGGCAAGGATGTAGAATGGCGACTTCGGAGACACTTTATCTGAGAGGAGACCTCCAATTTTTGTAAGGAGGAGAATACCTGCCCCCCCATACAGCGAATACATTCCAGCAACGGAACCCTTGAGGTGAACCAGATTGTTGGAGTTTGCTGCTGATGACATAGGTTTTGGAAGAAGGGCGGCGCTCTCATCTGAAAAATTGTCTCTGGCGCCTGGGCAGTCCTCTAGGGTAGCATAGTCGGCTGCATTTGTTCGTCGTCCATCCGAGTCATGGTGGCACGATGCTGTATCTTGGTAATGGTCCGGTCCAAGAACATGAGTACTGAGGCCTGCGAGGCTGCAGACGATAGACCCAATCTGGCTAATCCCGACCAGGGCCATGGCGACGAATATCACTGGGCTTCCCCCCGGCCCAGATATCTGAGGAGCTGGTAGGAGGGTAAGGAAAATATAGCCAATAATTCCAGCCAGAGCAGCGGAAAGGAGCGGGACATTGTGTCGTTTAGATTTTGCTGAGAAATAGCCAAAGACTGGTGCGAAGCACAAGGCGATGAGTTGTGCAACACCCGTCAATATTGAAGCAACAATGTAGGCTTTCGGACACGACTGTTTGATCTCACCCAGGTCGGTTTCAAGTACGTGGCTCTTGTTACTGGGGTGGCTTTCATCACAAAGACCTGAGCGCCTGAAATGTTGGTTGACATATAGAGGAATGAATAGGGAGATGCCAACGGTTGAGGCTCGGGCGACAAATCCGCCCAAATATGCGAGCCCTATTCCCGGCTGTTTAAAGCCGAGAAGGAATGATGCACTGAATTGTGATAGGTATGATTTAGGAAATAATGACGATAGAGGTGAGTTCGACGTCATTGCTGTGGTGGGTTGTGGTCCATCTGAAGTATGGGCTCTAGGGGCCCTGAATAGTGACTTCCATCCTGTGTACTGATCATCAGGTAGATTTCGTAGGCCAATGAAACAAACTGCGGAAACAGAAAGAGAGAGCAAAGCAACTATGTAGTAGCTCAATTTGATTGATTGAGCAGGAGACCGCCCTGATTTCTCAAACCACGCCGGAAGGGGCAGGAAAACCAGCAACGCAACGACGGCGCCAGAACCTGTAAGCATGCCAACGATGCCAGCTAGATGTGACGTTGAACCCTTTGCTGCCCGCCTTTCACGCGTTTTTGAATCAGGCAATGTCGCCTGGTAAAGCACGGGGGTTATCGTCAACTCTGAACCGTTAGACGGTCGATGCAGATGGCCATATATCCTTTGGGATTCATCTGGCTGAGGGGAAGTGGGCGTAATTATTTCAGAACTCTGATCTGAATTTGCGGAGGTGCCATTCAAGGAGCTCTTGCTTGCAGTTATAGCCGGAAGGACAGCAGTTACCATAGTGGTTACTGCCGACCCACCAAGGCTAAACAAAAGCCTGCCTAGTAGAAGCTCTGGGTATACATTTTTGGCCTGCACAAACAGGGCCAGTGCCAGAGCGATAATCAGGTAGCCTACCGTACATACCTTGACATATAATGTCAGAGTTTACCCAAATAGTAATCCAATGGATACTTCCAACTCACGTATCTGACCCCGATCCGATCCGATAACATTCCCCATACGGGACAAGCCACTAGGGCCAACAGCTCATCCGCGAAGCCGAGCGTACCAACAGCATCACCTTCACCGGTTGGGAGATTAATTAGATCTGTGACTACGAAGGATATCGACGAGTTCAAAAAGACGAGGAAGGAGATCGAAAACAGGCAAACACCTAAGAGGTAGGTTGCCGTCTGCAATTTAGTAGCGGTAAACATTATGGCGTGGTATTGCCGGAGCTGTCACGTCCCTATTAGATCCAGGGGAGTTAGTACTGAAAACTTTGGCTAGAACTGCAGGAAGCATTGTAGTATTCCGGGAACAGCAGGAAATACCTCAATTATCATATTGGAGGGGCCAATGTTGTGACTAAACCCGCAGCGTGGGGAGGTTACCGAGTTAATGTTATAGAACATGATATCAGACCATTATTTTGACTTCAAGGCTACGTAGCCTGTAGGGCATTTGCCGCAAACTCGGGCTAGCTTATTATGACTTAGCGCATCACATGACTGACAAAGCGGTCGAGGCTAACCCGCGGAGCTCAGTTTTATAGATATCTGTTTTCAGTATGAAACTCACGTTGTTTTTTGCGAAATGATCTTCTCAAAGGAGCCCGAATTTCCTCGGATTTCGCCTCAAATCTCTTAACACCCCGACAAAGGTAAATAAACGGTATTAATAGCATAAGTGCTGCATGACACATACATCTCCGGGCAATGATTTCCACGTGACCAAGCTTAGTAACCAAACCCAAACATAGCACTCTGATTGGCCCATCCTTTGCCCCAGCCCATCCGGCGGATCTCCCCATCACCGCGTTGATGATGCTAGCTGGCTTGAAGTTCGTCACTCTTGCAACGACCACTTTACCACTTTTCAAGTCACCCAGCAGTGGGCAAACAGAACACCCACACTGGTTTCTTTTTCCATCCGCTTTAACTATGTTTTCATAAGCCGCTGTTTTCCTTTGATACCCCCTTTCTTTTTCTTACACGCCTTAGCCGAGGGAACTGCGTCCGCCGCCATGAGGTTGGCAGCTTATGCTGGGGTATGATATCTAATGAAAGTATATACGAAGCTGATTCTAACTATCGCCTAGGCCTCGACGGCTCTGGCTGCTGGCGTGATCCTTAAGGCCTTACACCAGAGAGCAAACTTTTATTCCGCCTGCGTCTATCTGTCCCAGAGCAACGCGAACCTCATGGTATGTGTACGATCGTTCGAGTTAATGCTCAAAGTAGATAAACCGACTAATAATAGCTAAACTTAGATACTAACGAACTTCTGCCTCTTGATCGTCGGATTCGTGCTATATGGACTTCAGAGATTGCTATATGGACCCCTCCGACCAGTCGAAACGGAGCAACTATATGAAAAAGCTTGGTTTGCGGTGACGGAAACATGCCTCGCGATGACCATATTTCGTGGCGAGATGGGAGCCTGGTTTCTGGTCATGTTCGTCTGCCTTCTTGTTGGTAAAATTTGGGGATGGATTGGAGAGGGTCGAGTGGAAATACTTGAGCAGCAGCCGCCGCAAAACCCCCGCCTTTTCCATACGCGACTAGCAGTTTCCCTGATTTTGGCCGTAGTATTCAACACCCTTATGCTCGAATATGCCGTGAAGACAGTACTCCGCAAGGCTCGACCTGACATGATGGTGATGTTTGGATTCGAGTTTGCGATCCTATCAATCCTCTCGACGTCGACCGCGGCGAGGTACGGTATCTCCCTCTGGGAGATTTATATCACTAGACAACAGCGACAGGCGAAGATGGAGGAACGAAGAGCGGAGATTCGAGCAGCGAGAGCGGAAGCAATCCAGCAACAGTCAAACTCTGGGTCACAGGAACCTCTAAATAATTTACCAAATGAGGATGATATTGATGAAATGGAGCTTGATGTTCCTGGCTGGGAGGAAAAGGGCCGATGGGTATTTTATCTCAATATCGTAACTGGTGAGTATAATTATAATCATTACTGTTTGATTCCCCCGTGATAAGATTACGCAAGCTGATTAAACATATAGACTTTGTAAAACTTGTTGTCTATATGTCTTTCTTCGCGATCCTTTTCACCTTCTACGGATTACCGATCCACATTATTCGAGATGTTGTGCTTACAATGAGGTCATTTGGGAAGCGGGTGGTTGACTTCCTTCGTTACCGCAATGCTACAAGGGATATGCACCAACGCTACCCGGATGCAACTGCGGAAGAAATCGCGGCAGGGGATGTATGTATTATTTGTCGCGAAGAGATGGAACCTTGGCAACCGGCAGCCGCTCCAAATGGGAACGCACCCCCAGCCAGACCTTCTGGTCCCATTTCGGATCGATTAAGGGCAAAGAAACTCCCTTGCGGCCATATACTCCATTTTGCATGCCTGCGTAGCTGGCTAGAGCGCCAACAAATCTGTCCAACATGTCGACGGCCTGTTGCCTCAGCTCGAATACGTCAGGATTTCGTTGCTGCTCCAGGGGTTGCCCCTGGAGGTCCCGGTGGAATGGCTAATCAAGCTCAGGGTGCGGGAGCAAACCAGACTTTCGGGGCAGCCGATGGTCAACCTGGAGAAGCTCGACCAAGAGCGTGGATGTTCAATTTCGGGCCTATTCGCGTCGGGTTTGGAGCTGGCCGTGGAGATTTGTTCCAGAACCTTGCACAACAGATCCACGATGGCCAAGCGCCACCTGTTCAGCCAGGAGCTAATGCAAACCGCCAGCCAGCTGGACCGCAGCAAATCGGCTTTGGATTTGGCTTTGGGCGACCGCCTGCCCAACAGCCGCTTCCAGCCCAGCACAACAACGTACAGCCAACCGCATCAAACACGCAATTCAACTTCCAACACACGCAGGCCCATCTCCAGCATGTTGAGCATCATATTTCCCAGGCGATTGACAATTTGCGGGCTACGGCTGAACAATTGCAAGTGGTGCGTTTGTTACAAGCTGAATTAGCCAGACTTCGCGCTACTCAAGCCAGCATGACGAACCAGCATACACAACCACAACCGCAACCACAACCACAGGCTGCAACTGCGCCAGCTATTACTCCTACTGCTATGGCATCATCACATATTCCTGCGACTGGCAGCCAAAGACAGTTCACATCCCATCCACAAGTCCCTGCGCTGGGCTCGGGGGACAGTCGTCTCCCCGAAGGGCTTATCCTGCCCCGAGGTTGGACATTGTTACCTCTACAGCAGGCTAATCATCCTGGACCATCATCCACTCAAACCTCCACCACCCATTCTATGGAACCTCCATTCCCCTCACACTCATCGTCAATGCCTAGTACTCAACTATTTTCCCAAACACCAAACACTTCGTCACCCCCCACGAACGAATCAACTAACAGCGCAGCTTCTCTCAACCATGAACCTTTGGATGTTCAACGGTCTAGCCTGGATTCATCCTCTCCAAACCCTACATTGGCATTCTCTGCGCCAAGTCACGGATCACAGGCTGAACCGGTGCAGACTAGTTCTAGGACTAATCGCCCCTCTGCAGAACATGCCCCTCCCATTCCAGACTGGAGTTCAACAGTATCGAACGGGACAATTAGTAAGCCTGTAGTGGCAGCGCCTGAAGATACACCAACAGGGCCGGATGGAGAAGAAAACAATGACGTGGAACCAGCACCGTCAGATCAATCGTCGTCTAAAGGCAAATCCCGCGCAACCACAGTAGAAGATTACGTAGAAGACAGTGCTTGATAAGACGAAAAATTTCATGACAACACCCGTGTGGTAGGTAGACTAAGCTGTGGGCAAGCCACAACAACTTCGTCTCACGGCAGAGGATAGGGGGAAAAGGAGAGGAAAAGAAAATGGGCATCAATTATATCTTCACAATTCATGTAATTACATCAATTTTTTCACTCCTGGGTTTTTCTTTTCTGGCTTCTCTTCAACGAAGGATATTATGGTCTGCAGATTGCATCTTTTTTTTTGTCTCGTCTTTTCTTTTTGCAGTTTTCTTTTCGTCGTTTTCCATCAGCCCTTTCGATGATCGAACAAGACAGCCCTGTTGATCATACCACTCGCTTTTGATGCTTGTATTCTAGATTGTCCTCTTGTGTTTAACGGACATTATATGGAAGAAGAAAATCTACGACTGTGTAAAATCACCCCCCATTTATCATTGAAGACGTCTGAGATTTTTTTTTTTTTTTTAAGATATCCACGTTCCTTTTATCGTAGGCATCTGTTCCGCTTTGCCCCTCCACCACACCACAGCCGTTTATCAAAAAATGGCAGCAGGGGTAGAAAATAATTGTATGTACTATGTATGTATGTAGATTCTTCGGCCTCCCCCCCGTTCCCCCCCCCCCCCAACCTACTCGGGGGGCCCAAATCATGACAATGAGTTAAATCGGGTTAAAACTCTTCATCACCAAATAGTCTCTAGGACACGGGTAGAGAGGAAGCTGTTTGTACAGTACAAATTCCTCAACCTCAGCCTCAACCCCCTCCCCCGATGACGACGATATTTGCATTGGTAATCATCAGCGACAGACATGACTTTCTGTTATTGAAAGTATATATATATATATGGGGTTATCCATTATCCGTGGATGGGTTAGCCAGTCCTGTTTTGTCCTTTTTGAGAGATTCTTTACTTCACCCCGTCGGGAATCGGGAATACTTTTTTTATTCACACGGAGTTAATTTTCCAGCCTGAGTCGTTGGGAGATATTTTTTTTTCTTTTTCTTTTCTTTTTCTCCATGGGTGTCGAGGGTGAGTTGCCTGTGTTTGGCGACTATCATCACTGACATCTCGAACCGCCCTCCTACTTTGTTTCTTTCTTATTCCAAGCCCCCTCTATACTCCTTTCTCACTTTCTTCTTTTTATTTGCTCAGATCCTTTTAGAGTCAGGGAGGGGGATACCACGTCGAGTCTGCTCCCGCGCGTGATTTACATCCCCTGTCCGTGATAGGGCTTCTTTACGTCGACGGAACTTCAAAAGCCTTAACGTTACTACATATATTATTACCCAAACCTGGGTCTAATATTCTAGATTCGCCCAACCAATCGAAGTAAATGAGTTACAGGCCTAACTGTGGTAGCATTTTTCGCGTTCCCGAATAGGCCACGGAGGACAGAGATAGATAGCCTTCTAACCAGATTCTCCCCCCGAGTAATTTCTTCCAACCTTGACCTGGACCCTTTTCCCTTCCAATTCTCTATTCGATGTCTTTCTCTCACTTGCTCCGGCAGACTGCTAGCATCATCGTCATTATCATACAACAACCTTGTAATTAAAAACACAGCTTCAATCACGGAAAATGAATGAATATCCCGTGGAGATATTTTTTTTTTTTTTTCACAGCCTCTACTAACCACCGCGCAGGAGGGACTTCTCAATATCAACAAATAAAGTAACAAGATTCAGCTGGGGTCTCGTGTGTCAATAACCTTGACCTGCTCTGGAGCCAGTATGCTGCTGTTTTTGATATATCGACGTCAAGGTCCAGACCAAGCGCGTGGGCAACGGACGCTAGCGCCTAATTTAAGCTTATTATTAGGAGGATTGGTGGCGTCCGCTAGTTACCCAGGACTGGAACTGGACTGGACTGACTGACTGTGGCAACTTCAGCCCTATTATTAGGGGGACTTATTTAGTGTATGACATCATTTTAGTGCCCGCTAACTAAATAGGTTCTGTCATTTTCGTTGCTTATTATAAAATCCTATATCTATCACCTAGCTGCCAAGTACATACATTACAAGGTGGGTTTTAATAACCATAGTGCAATTATTAAAATTGCACTATCCGAAGGTCCTTGTAAAATCAGATCTTGATGTATTATAAACTGGAATGGGTATACTTTAATCTGTTGGATATTCTGACGGTGGGGGGGGATATCTAATGTTATTATGATAGATGATAGCTTGTGGCCTTATGAGAGCCAAATGAGATGCTACTAGCCATGAACTGGTTCTGATTTCATACACTCACACAAACATTAGTTATCTAAGTAATTATTATAATTGCTACATCTGCATGGCTAACTACATTCATAACTATCCAGAACTGCGGAGGAGAAGCACTATACCTATGGTAGTTTGCCTGTAATCGCTTAAATCCCATATAGACAACGACTTTTACTTTGTTGCAGGAAGCGAGGCATCGTCTTCGCATCCCCGCTAATTGGCTATCTCAAGAAGAAGAAGAAGAAGAAGAGCAATAATCGTCCAGTGCATGTCAGATGCAGAATCCTTTCGTCCTTACCTACATATTCTCCTGTTTCACGGCTTACAGATATTACTTCCCAAGCTGACCCTTCTATCCTAGATGGCCTCTGCTCAGCTGTCAAGCCACGACGGTTCCCCGGCTGGAATTCACGGATGTACTGATACCTGCATTGCCCTTATATCCGAACGCTGAAGGAGAAAGAAAAGAGTACGGGTACTCTCCATTGGATGCTACTATGCCTACCCGACGTCATGAAAATCGCAACCTCGGGCTGGAATGTGAGAGTGATTGAGGCGTTGATCGCCGCTGCGCCAACTCCACCCCAGGCAGGCCGAGCATGCAGATTGCTACTATCCTTGGATCTTTTCTTTTATCTGTCTTACTTCGTAGTTATTTGTTTGTTTATTTATGTACGGAGTGGTTTGGCTGCACAAAGAATACATACAACCTTTTCCTTTTCATCAGGACGAACCATATATGACATATATGAGCCATGGCCATCATCAGAGTCGCTCTCGCATGGACAAGAAAGAACCCTTGTGAGAGCAACAAACAACCTCAGTTACTACATACATATTAACACAGGCGTACGTACCGTACCAGAGTTATTCCACCCAGGGGAACGATTCATGCGTTTCCATATTTGCAAACTCGGCTTTACCGGAGAACACTGGCGCGTCCGCTGTACTGTACACGGTGTTCTATCTATATATATCCTCTACGTATATTTCCCCTCTGCCTGGTTGCACAGCACTCATCACTCGTTACTGCCAGGGGGGACGTTCTTTTCCCTCTTTTCCCTTTCTTTGGTTCCTTTTGCTCTTTCTTTCCCCTTTCCTTTCTTTTTTTTTTATTTTATTTTTTTAAATTTTTTTATTTTTTAAATTCCCTTTCTTCCACTCTCAGGACTGCGCTGCGCATGGAATTTGCCCTCGCCTCTCTGGATGCGGCTAAACCCACTTCAGCGTCTCCCACCGTTGTCTTGTTCTCTTCGCTTCCACATAATACTTATTATTCTTTAATATATGGTTTTAAATGCAACAGACAATATTTCCCGCTATTCGTCCTGTTATTCTGCTGGACGGCGCTTCATTTAATGTCCTGGTCGCCTCGTATCTGGCAGAATGCCTTCTCCTTGCTGATCGTTCCTCCATCTCAACATCCCACCCTTCCCCCCTAACTAACTTTAGCTCAATCACTTTCTAGAGTAGACCGAACCCCTGCCTACCTGGGCTTCCGATTCTGAACCGGGGGTAAGGGATCAAAGCAGTTCGAAAGTTCGAATATAAAGGAAACAAGAGGCACTGCAAGGGGCACTGGATCCCGCGTGTTTGAAACCAGATAGTCAATCGATAATCGTCATCCAAAACAAGTGACGACGCCCAAACCCCATATATAGAGGTATATATATCCACGGATGAATCAATCCGATAATGTACTCACGACCTTTGGCCCTCGTGCGGCGGCCTTTCGCTCTCCTCACCATCCTTGCCTTCCTAGTCACTCTGAGCTGGTATAGGCACGTCGCCAGAAACCACAGGAATTTCGCCGGCCCATTGATCGAACATGCATCCGAAGAAAAAGCTCCCACTCGGGGATACTTCTCACACTTCTCCCCCGGTTGGTTCTCCCGCTTCCTAACAACAAGAAGAGTCGTCGCTACTTCAACATCACCCATATCGCAGTAACTCTAATATTGAACCCAGGAGTTCCCAAACCACCCGGCTCCCACTACTCAAGAGCCTTGATCATCCCCCGTCTACAAAAGGAAGACGTCAGCTGGATCTCCTCCCAGGTCCAGCATGTGCAACAGTTCGTTTACGTCGTCGATGATCCTTCCGCAACTCTCCACCCGCCCGCCAACAAGGGCAATGAAGCAATGGTCTACCTCACCTACCTCATCGACCACTACGACAACCTCCCAGACATCATGATATTCATGCATTCCCACGGCAATAGCTGGCACAACGAAGAGCCGTTAGACTTCAAAGCCGCCGAACTAATCAATAGGCTAAGCAGCGAACGCGTCATGCGTGACGGATACATGAATCTGCGCTGTAACTGGGGCCCCGGCTGCCCGGACTGGATACACCCAGAAAAAGAAGAAGCGGACCCCAGCAAGCCGGAGGAAGCAATCCTTGCGAAAGCGTGGAGTGAGCTTTTCCCCTTTGCGGAAGTCCCCACGGTCCTGTCGCAGGCCTGCTGCGCCCAATTCGCAGTCTCCCGCGAGCGCGCGCGCGCCATCCCGAGATCTAGATACGTTTTCTACCGCGATTGGATCCTGCGTACGGAACTGCAAAATTATATCTCCGGCCGCGTGTGGGAGTATCTCTGGCAGGTTGTGTTCACGGGCAAGAACGTCTTCTGTCCCGCGCAGCATGCGTGTTACTGCGACGGGTTCGGCGTATGTTTCGGTGGCGCTAAGGGACTGGATGAATATTTTGACCTCGCTCGCCAGAGACGTGCCAAGGAGTGGGAACTATTTAAATGGAAGGAGTTAAGTAAGGAGATTCAGGAGGCGATCGAGAAAGGCTTGTCGGACGAGGAGATTCAGAAACTGGAGAAGCCTGAGCCCGGGAGAGATGAGGTTCTGGAGCGTGAGATAGAGGACAAGAAGCAGGAGTTGGCAAAGATGGTTGAGCAGGCGAAGGAACGGGGGAAAGATCCGCGAATACGTGCTGAGGAGGCTGGAAGAGTGTGGAAGGAGGGGGATGGGTTTTAAAAAAAACTTGCGAAACAGGGGGAAATAAACGAAAAAAAGAGAAAGGAAAAAGTCCGGTAAAAAAGTATCAAAATCACGGCGCAAATCGGCGGTATAAAATTCAAATTTGGCGGGGTAAAAATGTTGGATGTGATGTTAAATACACAAAACTGGTTTTTTGTTTTTTTGCCCATTTGTTGTGTTTTGGTTTCAAATGACCCTTGTCCAATTCCTTTGCTTTTCCTTTTTGCTTCGGCTTTTCTTTTTTGACTATCCTCCTCTCATCTCATGATTCGACCTGCTCTCTCCCTAGGGCAGGATCCGGCGTACACCGTACAGCCAGATCATATGTCTCCAACCGCACGAAAGCCAGAGGGATGATCAAACTCGGATCCAGCAGAAGTCCGAAGGAAAGGATTGAGCTGAGTTGAGGATCAACCACCGCGTTCATATTTTATAAAACGAACGTTTTTGAGGTGGAAGGGATGGAGAACGGGGAGTTGTGGTGTGAAATGAAAATAGACATTTGGCCAAGGTGTTCCCCTAGACCTGGAAAGCATTGGTTGGCTTATTGGATATTGTCTCCATTTGTCATTTGATGGAGGAGGTTCATGTTAGGGCGCCGTGCTCTTGGGTTCGGTCTCATTTATGAAGTACTGTACTCTGGATGTACAGTGTTTTTTGGCTACATTTCATGATCATACTAATTTTATTTTTTGTAATTTTTTTATATTTGATAATCTGTACACTCAGGCGTTCATGGGTTGATTGAGGTGAAACAAACAGCCTCTTTTTTATTCTTGAATCTTTTACATTTAGTTACTAATTATCTTGTCCGCTTTTCTTCTGTTGATAATATCTTTTGTTTCATGAGCTTGTTATATTAGATTGGCTTTGATTTTTAACTTGATTTTATTGTATTATTATCACTGATTATTGTTATTGTTATTCATACTTATACTACTCTACTGTTACTCACTACTACTGTTAATTCTATATTGAAGATTGATATTGATTAATAATAAGCTTTAACAAATTGTTGGCCGTTACGGCCGTCGCGGTTAGCGATCCCATCTTGGAGGATAACGTTGTTGTGTTGTAATCTAACTACGCGAGTTACACTAAATGAATAGGTTGGGGTGGCACGTGACTAGGGTAGGTGTAGTAATCACCAACACCCCCCCTTGCTACACCGTGGCCTATAATAAGCCGCCACCCGGGGCCTCCCTCATTCTCAAATCTTTCAAAAATGCAATAATAATTAATTACATCAATCAGACCCTGATTTCCTCATTAGGAAAGGTGTCTGTATAATAATAACTGTAAAAATCAAGAAATACATGCAAAATTCATTGATTTACTGTATTATTATTATCATTCAATTATTTCTTTCTGATCTCTTTCAAATCAATTCTTTTGATAAAATCTTCAAACACAGGCTTCACCAGTGACTTAGTAAGCCTGTCAGCTATGTTTGCTGTAGAATCAACATATTTTATCATGATTTTCTCTTTTTTAATCAAATTATGAAGAATATGATATCTGATCTCAATGTGATGCAATCTTCATGTTAAGAATTTCCCCTTTGCTAGATCAATTGCTCCCTTATTGTCAACTCATAGGTGCAAGCATATTTTCACTTTTTCATCATTCATCAACTCAGCATCATATAACATATCATTCAATCAGATTACCTCACAAGCTGCCTTGCTAGCTGCAATATATTCAGCTTCTGTGATTGATTTAGTAATAGATGTCTGTCTCTGTGAACACCATGAGATCAGTGACTCATTAATCAATATAACATAGCCAGTAGTCAATTTGTATTGAGAATCCGCCCCCGCCCAGTTCAAATCACAGTATATCACAGAACTCAGGCTCACATCATCAATCTTCTTCCTGTATAATATGCCAAGGTTTTTCATCTTCTTGATATAACATAGGACATGCTTCAACGCTGCTCAACATGCCTTGTGCAGATGCGAGTTAAAATGCGAGAGATAGTTGACCACAAACACCAGATCTGGCCAGCTGCTTGAGATCAAATATTGCAATGATTTCAATTCTTGACAATATCTTGTAGCTGTAAAGTCATCATTCAATCCCCCTCTCTCATCAGGTGAGAATTCCAGTCATATACCAGCTGTCATCAGAGTGCCAGCTGGATTTATCTTATTCATGCCGAAATCTTCAAGGATCTCCTCAATATAATGACTCTGTGTAACTGCTAGATTGCTATTCCTCTGACATTTGACCTTCATCTCAAGATATGACTTAGTCTCTTCAACATTCTTTGTCTCAAATCTCTTTACAATCTCTCTCAATACTCAGTCTAATTACTGTTCTTGAGATCCTGTCACCTGATAATCATCAACATGCAATGTCAGATAGATCTTGTGAACAGAATGATATAGAAATTCATCATTATAAGATAATATCTTGAATTTTAATGTAGTTAGATGCTCTGTTGCAAGGAAATACTATATTCTTACAGCTTACTTCATTTTATATAGACTCTGGCAGAGTAATCTCACTAAGCTCTCTCTGTTATGCTTAACACCTGTGAGCAGTTGCATATAGATCATCTCATTCTGTGATAGTATGTCATTCAAAAACATGAATACATAGTCAATCAATTTGATCTTTCATTCTTTGACAGTTGATATAGTGAATAGACTGTGTGATGTAGACCCTGATATCACTGCAGTATATAATCTCATATAATGAATACTCTGCTATTGCAAGAACTCTCTAATCACTCAGCAAGCTCTAAAGCAGATGATTTCTCTCTTATTATTGAATTTCTGATCATATACTCATTTATCTGTAAGAATATTCATTTCCAGAGCCTTCTCAATGATAATATATATCTTCTTCTATTCAAATATCTTAATCTTCTTTTTCATTGCCTCATGTCAATAGTCTCAGTCTGAGCTTCTCTTGACTTCTGTCAGTGTAGTTGATCAGTCTGTCAGAACACTTAGAACAGAATCATTCTCATTAACAGAGTCTTCAGACTCTTCATTCATGACAAGCTGTGTCTCATCATCTAGAAGATAGATTGAATCAATTACACTCTCTAAGTTCTTATTTACAATCATCTTCAAAACATCTGACTTTTCCTTTGTAAGGTGTTATAGTAAGCAGTGCTGTTATTCCTCTCTAGCATTCAGAATATTCAATTCATTAGACAATTCATTGAATTCTCTCACTGTATTTACAGGTGTATTTGCACTCATGTTAAGAGCTTCATCAAATATGATATCTCATGCAATCTCAAGATGATGTGCAACAGAATCTCACATATGATATTGATGTAATTCTTGATATTCAATCAGCTGTTATTTCTTGTCATCAGTTCTATCTGCAAGCTTATTTAACACTTTTAAATCCTTTTTATAGATCTTGCACTCTTATCTCTGTATTCAATGAACAGAAGATTGCATCTCAGTTCACACTTCAAAAGATGTAAATAATGTTTCTTTCTTATATTCAAATATCTTTGTTAATGTTGAGAATGTGTTGATCATTATGATCACAGCTTGTATTACTTCATTTCAAAGTTCTCTTTCTAATTCACTATTAAATAGTAGACTTCATGTCTTTTCTGTAACTATTTGATTCATGCATTCTGCTGAATCATTTGATTGTGATGTGTCAGATATAGTCATTTCATATACTATTTCTTTGCTCTGACAGTAGGTCTTAAGTTCTTGACTTTTGAACTCTTCTTCATCATCTCAGTGTAGAGTTCTAACTTAACATTGTATAGTTATCTCAATATCTGTGATGAAATTCATTAATCTTGTAGTAGATTCTTTCTTTCTCATCATAAGAATTACTTATCTATAACAGATTGTATCATCTGTTATATTCAATCAGTAGCTTGCATTTCTTCTAGTGAGAATGTCATTTCTGTTGAAAAGTGTTTTTCCACTCTCTGCTAGATTGATGAAGAATCTCATTGCCAGCTTGACAGCTCATGTCATAGATGTGAAGATTGAATGTGTCATTTTTGTCTGAACACAGACTTTGCAGAATGATAAAGCTTATTAATTAATAATTCTCATCTCTAGATATGAATCTGCTATTATTTTTACAATATTCATGAGATTTAGATGTTCTAGCTTTTAATATCATTGCATTATTGTAAGTTCTATAACCTTTGTATCATTTCTTTCAGATAGTGTCAATATTGTGTCATCTTTTGCTCATAATGTATTCACAGGTTCAAAATCATCATTAAGTATAGCAAATCAGATCAAGTCTCTGTATATAATCAGCCTTTTCATCTCATAGATATCATTCTCATTTAATCTTGCTGTAAATGAGAACATGCAGTCAGAAGACATAATCAACATAGTATGATTATTCTCATATATCAACTGCTTATAGGTATAACTCTGATGTACAAGCTTACTCATACTTATGAGATTCACTTCTAACTTCAGAATATAGTGAACATCATTTAACAGCATATCTGTCTCTTTCACTGAAATCTTTATATCTTCTATAGCTGCAGCAGAGACTATCATTCTGTCTGTCATTTTCAACATCACTTTCATCTTCTGAGGTTTTATCATGACAAGATCTCTGTGAGGTGTGATGTGAGCACCTGATTCAGAGTTTAAAATCCAGGTATCTTTTTCTATCTGATCACTTGTATAGGCCTTTTCTTTGATGCAAAATACTTGCTTTATGACATTGTAAATAGAAGCAGCACCTGTATTCTCTGCATTCTTGTCTTTATCCTTGTTTCTATTCATATTGGAGTTTGAAGAACATTTCTCAGAGTATTTCTTCCAACAGTCAGTCTGAATATAATCAATCTTTTAACAATGATAGCAGGTCCTCGCATCATTATCTCTATATTCAGGTTTGAATTCAGTGTTCTTGTTCTTGTTATTGTCTTTCTCTTTGTTCTTGTCTTTCTTATTCTTATCTTGTGTGTTATTGATAGAATTTCTAGACATATCAGTATTTGCTTCATTTGCAGCAGAGAGTCACAAAAGAATATCATAGCACAGGCCTATAAAATTGTTCTCTAAGAATTAAGTATTATCTTTGTCAATTTGATTCATTCAATTTCTTATAAATAAGACTCAATCTCTGTTAACTCCTGTAAGCAGTCTGTTAAAAAACATGACATCTGGAATCTCATATTCTAGACAGATATAATCAGTTCTTATAGCAATCAGACATTCAATGAAAGTGTGATCTGAGTCTTTTGACTTAGCAGTCATACTAATCAGTTTCTTAAACAGATAAGTTCTGTAAACAGCAGATCTCTCAGAAAAGTTATCCTCTATGATAGTTTATAGAGCATAAGCAGACAACTTGAATTTCTTGAGTATAGTGAAATAAGCCTTGGCCTGCAGAGCAATTGCAGACTATATATAATTATATAATCAAAGATTGCATTCTTTTTAGAAACATTGCATGTTCATGATAGCATTCTCATCAAGATTATTATCTTCAAGAATATCATTGATTTCAGACTGTTCTGCAGTCAAAAGAATTTCCTCTCTTCACATTGAATAGTTAATGAATTCAGTGAGAACTATTAATCTTTTGATGAATCTTACTTAGCTTCTGAATTCTTCAAGAACTTTCATTATAACAGATGTCTTCTCTTTTCATTGAAGATATTCTGTCAGGTCTGCTCTCATCTCATCACCTGCAGAGTCACTTCTACTAGTCTTCATTCACTCAACCTCATGCTGAAGTCTTGCAATTTCAAGCCTTATACAAGTCTTCTCACTCACTGAGCTATTGTTATTTCAGTCACTTGAGCCTCTCACATTGTCTGACATCTCACTGATATCTTCAACTGAGTCTTTGTATACATTGAACTTGTCAGACTGTTCTTCTGCAATGGTTTCATCTGGCTCAAATGCCTCTGAGACAGTCACTTTTCAGTTCATTGCAGATGTTGATAAGCTCATGCTCAATTCTTTTTATGCTTCAGACATTTGTGAATTT